TGCATATATAAAAGGGTATGGTCACTACAGCATGGTCCAGAAGGCCCAGGTGACTTGGGGTATCAAGCATTTGTCCCCATGCCTGTACAATGTTATGCTTCCACAGTTGCTGACTACATAGAGGTGAACATATTGACAGGTACTTGATTTGACACTTCATGGGGAGAATTCCAATGGTAAATTCTCATGCTAAAAACCAGTCCGAGGCTATTCATAGCACACGCCACTGACTCTCCCACAAGCCACACAGGTTACACACGTGAAGCAGTACCAGCCGCCTGAAGACCATGACATAGGACAGACTGTTTTGAAATTTACACCCTATTGCAGACGCCAGATAGACTGTGGCAAATGACTGTAAAATCTTACTCTGATGCTGGCAGTTAGGACCAATTTACCTTCACCTGAGAGCACAAACAATGGACTTTCCAGATATTGCCACAAAGCTATATGCATAGCCCAACTTTGTGTCATGGCCTGGTGGCCCAAGACCTGGCTACCAAGGACAAGTCACACAGTGTCTCTGTTCTGCATTGATGATTTTATGTTAACTGATTCTCTCTCAGGTTTGAAAGCCACTGTACACAGTTTTAAAAAGCTTTGCTGACATGGGTGTAAGCTGCAAATGAAGACAAGGTCCAGGGAACTGGCCTGTCTGTCAAATTCTTGGGTGTTACATGGTTGGTTAAGATCAGACCCATGACAGTAACCAATTACAGGTATGTGTGGACCTAGCTATCCTGCTGAGCCCTTTATGCAAGATGACAAAAAGGGGCATCGGGGCTGAACACATGCAGTGTTGGGTAAATGCAGAAGAAGCTACTTTTCAGGATTCAAAGGGGGTTGTTGCACAGATGTAAGTCCTGTGAGTCAAAGACCCTAACCTGCCATTTATCCTAATCACCAGTGTTGATGATGATGGATTTGGTTGGGGCCTATGACAAGAACAGAAAAAAACAGAAGCACCCTGTTGGGTTTTAGTCACAGTTATGGGAGGGAGCCAAGAGTTGATATTCCAATTGAAAAACAGCAGCAGTATATGCCACTGTACATGCCTGTGAGGGGCAGATAGAGGGCTAATACAGATGTGAACAGCCCATCCCAAGAGTGGAGTGATGCAGGTCCCCCTACTCTCATGCTTTGGGGGATATACTTCAAACAGCAGCTTCTTTCCTGGCTAGCATGCTGGTAGCTGAACTGGCAATGGTTTGGGGACCCATGATGTATGTGCCCGAAGAACCTGTCCAGGAGAACAAACTACAGGACTTGATGCCTAGTCCCATACAGAAAGGAAAGAGGAATCTCTGGACATATTGATGGGTCTAGCCATGACCCAACCCCACATGGGACAGTAGCTGCTCTCCAGCTCAGTATGAAAGTACTCTAGTTTGTAACCAAAACTGTAAGTTAAGCCAATGGGCAGAGCTACAGACAATGTGATTGCTTGTAATGCATAAAAAGATCCCCTACATGTGTACATGGACAGCTGAGCCATCTTTAGGGGGGTGACACTCTGGTTACCAGCTTGGGCAGCTCAGGAGCAACAGATAGGGCACAAAAAATTGACAGAGATTCAGCCCTGGATTCACTACTCCAGTAACAAGTGGGCTCATCCTGATAATTGTAAGAAAGCCTGTCCTGATGAATACTTAAGACTACCTTGAAGAGACAATGCACTCAAAGCCTTACTCCTGCCACTTCAGAAGCTGGCAGTTCAATGCACAGCTAAAGATTAGATGGACATTGTACACTGGAGTACCTGTCCTAATTGACTCATGTTTTGTTACCCAATTTGGATATTAGTTCCCTATCTTTCGTTTACCCTGGTACTAGCTTCAGGACTCTGGGCTGTATGCCCAGAGAACTGGAAAGACTCCCACAAAATCACCTTCACTCTCTCCCACACTGGTGTAACTTCTGTATAGTTTCAATACAATTATATAGTTTCATTTGTATAGTACCGATACTCTGCCTGGTTCTTGGTTCCTTATCTCCTATTAATCTGTTTGCTATCATTCTCTGGATCACAACTCTGAAAGACTAGTAGGCCCATCAGAAGTCTGTTTTTGTTCTCTCCTACATAATTTTGGGCGCTTAATGGCTCTCCTCATGGTCCTTCGTCTAGGCCTTTGTGTGATCCACATTCTGACATGCTTCCTGGCTGAATGCTTTAAAGCAATGTACCATCTCCTTTTAAAAATTATTTTCCCTTACCAGTTCCTCAGTACTATACTGAGGAAATTGAGAACACTGAGGAAAGTAGGAAAAAAAAATCTTCCCCATAAAAAGGGGTGGGGAGTGCAAAGGCAATTTTGAATGGAAAGAAAATTTTAAAACTTGAATTTCTAATACTATTCAAGGATGGGACTGGGAAGTGCAGTCTGTTCCCATAATTTAAAAAACTGTAAAATTAAGCTAAGCCTTGACATGCCAGCTGCAACTTGTAAGATAAATGTAACTCAGCCGGATAGTGCATCTTGTTCTACTAGCTTGCTTTCAAGTTCTCAAGGACAGACTGGCTCAGTTAAAGACTGATTGATTCTTCCTGCTCATCACAATCCTAATGCTTCCCTCCATTACATAACAGTAACCCCAATTAGCTTACACAGAATTAGTCTGCCTGACAATGTATGACCGAGCCTATATAACCAATTTTAAACTATCCTGTTATCTGTCTTTTGTACCTCCTTCTGAAAACCTACATAAGTGACTAACCTCAAGATAAGAGTTGATGATTTGGAACTGAGATTCCCTTTAGCCCACTAGCATAATAAAGCTGTACGCCTTGCAAAGTTCCTCTGGTGCTGTGTTTTCTATCTGATCTGGTCCTCAATCCCATAATATTACTATGCTTTAAAAGATAAGCTTGAGACATTTTTTTTAATTTTTTTATCCGTACCGGGGATTGACCATGACCTTGCAAGGCAGAGCTTATATCGCTGAGCTAAATCCCCAGCCCCAGCTTGAGACATTTCTATCTGAATGGATGCACCTTGAAGTCATACTCTTACTCTGAAGTGAAATTGGACACACATGTGTAAATACTGCATCATTTCTCTGATGTAAGAAATCAAAACTGTAAATAAGGACCAATGTATACAATAGATACTGTGAAACAGGAAGAAAATGTTCAAATGTGAAAGGGAACTAAGGAGAGGAGAAGGGAAAGGAAGGGAAAAGAAAAAAATGAGAAAAGGAAAAAATGGAAGCAAGTCTTTTGTAAATAAGGAGGGCAAGAGAGGTTGAAGGGACGGTAGGGTAATGAAAAAAAAAAGAATTATATCATGTACAGGTACAAATTTCCTATAATGAATGTGGATCATTATGTATACCTAAAATGTACCAATAAACTGAATAAAACATAAAGAATGATAACAGAAAGTGATAAAATCCTTATAGGACATTTAAAAACTTCTTTGATTAAAACATTAAGGGGGGCTGGGGATTTAGCTCAGTGGCATAAGCGCCTGCCTTACAAGCAGGCAGTCGTGAGTTCAATCCCTGGTACCGATAAAAACGAAAAAGACAAAAAAAAAAAAAAAAAGAAAGAAAGAAAAAAAACATTAAGGAGCCATTGTAGGGTTGTGAAGAAAGGTGGGGCAGAAATGATATTGTAATAATCATTCTGGTTGCTTTTTTTGGAATAGAAACTATGTTGAGACAAAGAGGGAGCAAGATTTTTTTAGGAGGTTACTGCAGTAAACAAGGTAACAAACAGTAGCACAGAGATGATATCAAGAGAAATGATACATTTCCTTCCCAATACATTATTTTGAAAAAGTTCAAACCTATAAAAAATTTGCAAAAAAAAAAAAAAAAAAGCACAACCAATACCCATGTTACTCACCAAGATCCGGTTGACATTTTGCCATGTTTGCACTCTCTCTATATATAAACACACATTTTTTCTTTTCCAACATAAGCATTATTACAACCAAGAAATTTAACACTGATATAATATTATTATGTAAGGTATAAATCACATTCAAAAAAATTTACTTTGATCCATGATCTAAAGATTAAACATTTCATTTCTCTTTCTTTGAAAAAATGACTTTTTAAAACTAATCAGATTTACATAAGTGGTTACATACAGTAAAACTGAACTCGTTACTTAATTTAGTGTTTTTCTTTTTATTTACATCAATTTACACTAATAAATGAACACAGTTGCAAAACAACACGCAACAAAAATGCAGAGTATTTCTATCATCCCCCAAATTTCCCTTCGTCCCTTTGGTAGTCAGTTTCCTCTCTCATGCAACCTGCAATTTGATCTTTATTTTTACAGCTTTGTTTTTTCCAAAAATCATACAAGATGCAGCATTTATGTTTGGCTCCATTCACTTACATGAATAGTTTTGAAATTAACAAGAGTTTGCTTATCAGTGCTTGTGTTCCACCACATCAGTGCATTTCTTTTTTTTTTTTTTTTTAATAAAGTAGCTCATGAAGATGCATCAGTGCATTTCAAGTCATTCATATATACACCACTAATTACTTTTGTACTGTTCCCATTTCTGGTGATTATGAATAAAGTGGTCACAAATACTTACCTAGAGTTCTCTCTACAGATGTACATTTTATATCACTTGATAAGTTCTAGATACTAGGAATGCTAAACTTTGAATATCTGGGAAATTTCACATTTTCCCAATTTCACAATCAACATTATATTCTTAATCTTTAGGGGAGACAGGGCTTTAATTTCCTATAAATAACAAGAATCAGTTTAGAAGATTTCTAATTTCAACTCCTAGATACATAAATATCTGATTATAGTCATTGCCTGTGGGCAGAAGAATTCAAGGAAGGGGTAGGAGAAGAAAATCAAAATTTCTCTTTTATTATAAAGCTTTTGAATTTTGTGAATGTGCAAATACTATCCAGTAATAAAGTAAGTAATATCAAAAAAGTTACCTCAAATTAAAAAAAGAATTATTATAAAAGAACTTAAAAGTTCATGGATATATCTCTTAATTTGTGTATTTTACTCATACCTTACTAAAGTTTGGAGGAGGATTTTTGCCTCTACATAAATTTGAAAGGGCCCATACAGCATTTCTGGTTGTTGTAAGTCTGTTTGAATTTGTTAATAATCTGTCAAGAAACAAGAAAAAAAAAGTGGAATTGTCATTTTTACATTCATTTTTCCTATTCAGCTTTCTATCATAACACACAATAGTCAAACTAGTAAAATAGGAAAAAGGAATCTTTAAAAATTTATGATATTGCCAGCTGTGATGGCACATGCTTGATAGCACTCAGAGGCTTGAGGTAGGGGAGTCACATGTTTGAGGCCAGCTTGGGCTACATAGCTAGTTCAAGGACAGCCTGACCACATAGTAAGACCCTGCCTTAAGAATCAAAAACAAACAAAATTATTCTATTTTTCACATACAAAAATAAACATATTACAGCTGTAATCTATAAGATGTGAACAGATTCTTCAATGACAAAACACTTTAAAAATAATTGGTGCCATGGAAAATTTACATATTTCTACGCAAAGTACTTTAAAGAGTATTAGACTATTTTTGTTTTAATTATAAATGTATCATACAAAATCAAGATGTATGGAATTCAGGGTCAAATTTAATTAAGATCATTGATATGGGAAGTTTTGTGCTTTTATTTTATTTATTTATACTTTTTTCTGAGACAGAGTCTCACTATGTAGTTCAGGCTAGTCTTGAATTCACAGTGATCCTCCTGTCTCAGACTCTCCAGTGCTGGGATTACAGGGTGTGTTTTGTTTCTAATCAACTATATATTTAAGTGTTGTGTGAGGTTTTATTTATAGTATTCTTTTTATTCTCAAAAGTCGTATGTTATTTTAAAATCATTCACACTCAATTTTTATTTAACATACCATCATTTTCCCAAGGTCTGAAATTTCAGAATTTCTTTAGAATATTAATTTCATGTCTCTATGTTTAACAAAACTGCTTAAGTTTTAAGCTCCACTCTATTTCCCAGAAATCTCAAGACAGTTGCTAATAAATTTTAATATAAAATGTTCAGTATTGCTTTTATATGTATATAGGTATAAGATTACTTTCTTCTTGTTAATAAAAACTATACCATCTTTAATAAAAATCTAAACAAATTAAGAATTGTGATGTAGAACAAAACTAACCCTTGGTAAAATAATGTACCAACACAAAATTAGCTTGTGTTACATCAACAAATGTTTTAATGGTTTCAAATATATATATTCAACAACTAAACAGGCAGGAAAAAAATAAAACAAAAAAAATTATAACACAAATGATCATATCTAGAATTCTATTCAATCTTTACTTAAGTGGGGATAAATCTTCACTTTAAAAAATATGTAGTTTGCGAGACAAAGGCAACATAAAAAAGACAAAACTTTATAGCTGTTTCTGCCCCATTGGTTTTCCAAATCTGTTGTAGATTGACTAAAATGTTCAAGTGTCTCTTGTATTTGCAAAGAAAGTGAACTTCTCAAACAAGTTTTCAGTCTAAGAAGTTAATCTACTTATAACTTTCTATAAAAGAATGTTTTATCTGTTTTAGTTATTGATATTTAAATAGGCCATCCTCCAAAGTAGTAGTCCTTGAAGATTTTAGAAAGTTGTGACCCTCACCGATGTGCTTATACCTCAAGAAAAAAAGCACACAAATGTTAAGAGATCAGGGAATACAAAATATTTTATCATACTGAGGACCAGGCCATATAACTCATGGTCTCCAGGCCTGTGAGATCTTGCCCAAGGAAACAAAGAAGTATGTAGAAGGCTGCCACGCTTCTTGGCTGTGCAGGGAAAGCTGGTAGCCACAGTGCTCCTAAGCAAGGTAACATCTGCCGAAGACAATGTGCAGCATGCAGGCATCTGGGCAGAGGGAAGAACCATTCATTTTTCCCTGTCTACCACAGTTGTCTTTCCAGGAAAAGTACTCTGCCTCTTTTCCTGTGCTAATAAACATGGGCCAACTGTGGACCAACTGTGTTGCGTTGTGAGAACGCAGGTTTCTCCTGTCCCCTTGTACCCTGAACATTGTGTTTTGTCTTTCTTTATTCCCCAGTCTTCCTTTATTCCACAGATATGAGGAGTTCTGATCAACCCCCCGCACATACAAAATGTGTTTTGCAATTCTGCTTTTGCAAGGAGTCTGCTAACCTTCTAAGGATCTTAACAAATCTTCTAGAAACATAGACTATCAAAACTGGGAGGAAACCTATTTTGGAATGACAATAGCAAAAATAATGAAGAGGGGAACTTTTCCACCACAGAAATACTGATAAAATTTACAAACACTATCTCAATCAACTTTATGACAACTTGAGAGACAGTCAAAAAAGTTTATAGCAACTAAAAGAATTTTTACCCTGTGTACAGCCTGGGTAAAAATGAACCCTCAAAAGCTCATGTGTTCAAATATGGGGCTTTGGGAAGCTGACTAGATCACTAGAATATTAATCTGAATGGATAGGTCGACTGATGAGTTCACAGCTGAATGTGTTGTTAGGAGGTTAGGGCTGTTTGGAGGAGGTGGGTTCTTGGGAGCAGGACAGATGAGAAAGGTGCTGAAAGCCTGGGTGTAAAACACTTTGGGAATAAAAGATGTAGAAAGTCTCCCCAAGTATCAGACATCTAGACAACACACATGCCCAGGCCAGAGGACATGCTCAGAAAAAAAAATTTCAGTAGACTGAAAGACTTTCATCTTACAGGTAGGCTTTTACCTCTGGCTTAGCACAAGCAAAAGGTGAATGCTAAGCCACAGCTATAATTGGCTTGGCTAAGAAATGAAGGCAAGGGCCACAATGAAAATAACACTCTGAGAGAAATCTGTAACTGCAAGCACATTAAAAATGATTGAAAAAGCTGGATGTGGTGGCGCACGCCTGTAATCCCAACACTCAGGAGTGAGGCTGAAAGATCTCTGTGAGTTCGAAGCCAGCCTTGGCTACCAAGTGAGTTCAAGAGCAGCCTCAACTGCATAGTGAAACCCAGTCTCAAAAAGACCATACAGCTATCTTAATATCAATGCCATTTTCTCATGATTGGAGTAACTTTGTGATAAGTCGCGGGAGAGGGCTGGAGCTCTTAATTTTGTTCCTTTTCAAAAGGGGTTTAGACTATTTTGAGTCTTTTCCATTTTTACAGAAATTTAAGAATCAAAATCTTAATCTTTATAAAAAATTATGTTGGCAGTTTGATATGCAATTGTGTTTCTGATCTTTATTATTTTCATCTATTCATTTTTCATTTTATTCTTTTATTTTTGATTTCTCAAGGAAAGATATAGAGATATTTCATGGTTTTCTTCTTTTTTGATGAATGTACTTGGTGCTAAAAAATTTTAAAAAATAAATAAAATTTTTAAAAAACCAAAAAGAAAAACAATTGCAAATCAAGTACCTAACCTTTTACTAGAAATTAGAAAACAAGACTTTAAATACAGAAGAAAGGAAATAATAAAGAGCAGAGACAAACAGGAAAACACTAGAAAAAGTTCAACTAAACCAAAAAGTCATTAAAAAAAGCAAAACAAGTAATTAAAATTTCTAGACCAACGAAGTCTCAAATTACTAAAATTAGAAATGGAAAAGAAGACATAAGATAATTGTTCTGCAAGAAAAATAAATAAAAGACATCTAAACTGGAAAGCAAGAACTTAATTCTCAAATATGATCTGGTATATAGAAATCAAGAAAAATCCACCCACTTACAGAAACTCATTAATGCTAGTAGATACAGTCAGTCAAATTGCAGGTCACAAGATCAATAGCACAAATGAACTGCATTTTTTATACACTTCCAATGAATAAAAAAAAACTGGCAAGAAAATAATCTTATGACAGCATAAAAATACAGATACACTTAAACTTATGACTATGGTTACTTCTCGATAAATCCACAACAAACCAAAAATGTAATGTGAAGATGCATGCAATACACCTAACCCACTGTTATGATCTGATCTTAAATGTTACCAAAGATTCCCATACTAAAGGCCTGTTTGCCAGCTACTGGATTACTGGATGGCAGTGGAACCTTCAGGAGGCAGGCCCCACAGAAAGAAAGTTAAGTCATGGGAGACAGTTTCTTTAAGGGGCTATGGAGATGCTGGACCCCTTCTTACTCATTTTACTTCCCGGCTACCATTAAGTATGCAGCCTTGGCCCACATGCTGTGCCACGATATGCTCAGCGCCATGATATGCTCAGCCTTCCCACAGGGAAAAAGCAACAGAACTAATCAACATGGATAGAAACCTCTTAAACCAGAAGAAACCCTGTTTCCTTATAGGAAGGTCATGAGTTCGATCCCTGGTACCAAAAAATAAAATAAAATAAAAATTTTTTAAAAAATAAAGTGACTCATAACTGGCCTTTTCCCACAGGGATGGAAAGTTGACACCTATCAAATACCACAGCTTAGCAGCACAATATGTTATACAGCACTATCTCTGTGACCTCACAATCTCCTGCTCATCAATGCTGCTGCTCAGAATCATGAAACAGAACCACACCATACATACTGCTGGTCTAGGAAAAGATCAAAATTCAAAGTATAATTTTTATTAAATGTATTTTACTGTACAAAAAAAAAAAAGGTAAAATATCGTATGTTGAGCTATTACAAATTAGGAACTGACAGTACTTGGAATAAATTTAAACAAGGAGACTTGTACAGTGTAAATTAAAAAATGCTGCTAAAATTAATGAAGATCTAAATGAATTAAAAGATATATGGTCTACATTCTTTGATAGGAAGAGCTAATATAAAGATAGCAATACTCCACAAAACAATCTACAGATTCAAAGATAATGGCTTTTTTGCACAAACAGAATACCAAAAAAATGACATACATGCTACATGATGAATGAATCTTGAAAGCAATGTAAGGAAAAAGGGTTGAGGATGGGGATTTAGCTTAATGATACAAGCGACTGCCTGACAAGCACGAGATTCTGAATTTGATCCCTGGTATCAAAAAAAAAAAAAAAAAAATGGGTCAAGACACAAAAGGTGCCACTGGTATATGACATACCTAGTATAGATAAGCCCATAGACAGAGCAGAGTTTCGGTTTTAAAATAACTGGAATGATATGAAAAGGGATGTGACTGTACATTGGCTACTGAGTTTCTACTAGAGATGGTGAAAGGTTCTGAACAACAGTGACACTTTATAAAGCACTAGGAAATGTACTCAATGCCACTGAGTTACATACTTTCACATTATCTGTATTTTAAATGTTAAAAATTTTTCTGTTCTAGAGATTTTCTTATAAATAGATTTAAGGCCTCCTGAAATATATATTTCACCTAGAGACAAAATACGTAATTTTGACCATCAGGGATTGACATATTTCACCAGACTGAAGTTTAGTTTTTTTTATTCTGCAGCCACTCAGTTCTGCTGAGGGCACATGAAAGCAACTAAAATTTACTAAGTGAATGAGTATTATTGTGTTATAATAAAAGTTAATACATAAAAACAAGTAGCAAGCTATTGAGTTGGCTTGAGGGCCTAAATTGGCCAATCCTTGTTTCATTATTTTTCTTTTTCTACGTTAATGAGATTATTATTATAAGTGCAAATCCCTTCTTACAAGTTAAAATTTAATGAAATTTAAACTACCAGCTAGGTACCGAACCTGGTAGCGCATGCCCATAATCCCAGTACTAAAGAGGCTGAGGCAGGATGACCAATGCACATTCGAGGCCAGCCTGGGCTACAAAGTAAATTCAAGACCAGCCGGAACCATTATAGTGAAACCCTGCCTCAAAAAAGAACCCCCACTCCCGTGCCAAAAAAACCCCTCCTAGCTAGATGTGCACACCTGTGATCCCATGACTAGGGAGGCTGAGAAAGGAAATCACAAATTCAGGGCCAGGTGGGCTACATAGTTGAGTCCTTGCCCAAAAAATAAAATAAAATATAAAATAAGTTGACACAACAAAAGTCATGAAGTTATATAGTCCATAGTAGTAACAGATTGATACTTATCAAGAATCAAATGATCTAGCAATAAACTAAAATTTCAAACAGAACTGATAAACAGTAGCTAAATGTAAATTTCTATGTAACAGATAATTCATAATCATTTTAAATAGTGGGAGCATCTTATAAACAACTTTCCTTTTTATTACTTTTCTTAAAATTTTCAATGAAATTTTGAAATTTTCTAAGATCAGATTTTGTAATGAAACTAAACTTTCCTATGTTCTAACATCTTATCCTGAAATTCATTGTGTTTACATATAGTACTACATAGCTAGTTACTGTAGGGGCTCCATTAGTTTGTTCCTTCATTCATGATTTAAAAGCTCTTACAACATTTAAAAGGATGAGACAAAATAAATGCATACTAATTCAGAAACCACTACCAACTTGAGGTATTAATAATAAAATGCCCTACAGGGCCAAGATTTAGCACAGCAGCATAGTGCCTGCCTGGCAAGCGCAAGGCCCAGGGTTTGACTGCCAGTTCCAAAAAACAAAATAATAATAATAGTAGTAAGATCTATAAAAAACAACCAAAAGTAGTAATAGACACAAATACTAAGTAAATCTACAAAGCATATATATCCGGTCACCAAAATGTCTTATTGAAACATTAAGAGAAACTGTTAATAGCACAGACTTGAAAAAATGATTCTGATATGAAACTTGAAATCAGAATTTTCTTCCAGAGCTTAGCTAACTTCTCATAGACATGAAATACTGGGTAAGTAATGAAAGTGACATGAGTGATTCAGTGGCCTAGAAGCAACTGATCTGTAATTAATATTAGCAGCAGGATGTCATGCCGAGTAATCACTTCTGTCTATAGGAAGTTAATTCCTCAGCTGGAAAGGTGGAGAATAGCACAGAATTGATATAGAATTGAAATTTTACCTTCTAACCTTCTGACATGTTTTTTTTTCTTTTTTTTCTCTTACTGCTTGTAAGAGAAAATTGTATTTAGGCTAATTAAAGATCCTTTTTATGAATGATAAATAACATAAAGAAATCTATGCTTTAAATAATTTTATGTAATTTCTGCAAAGGACTTTACAGTATAAATTTTTTCTAAAAAATGTGTAAAGTAGCTGAAGAAACTACTAGATGAGAAAAAAAGCCTTTTTAGAGAACAAGCCCCTTGTTCTCTAACATTTAAAAATGTTCTCTAAACATTTAAAAACCAAATAGAAAAACGCAATGACCTCTTACATACATCATGTATTCTAGCATTAAAAATTCCATACTATAGGAACGTTTGAAGTTTAGTGTATTATAAACTACATACACACTCATTTGTAGAATATTTATGTCACCAAAGTAAGCAACAATCACTGTCAAGTATAGTTTAAAAGAATATAAAAGACATATGATATAATTTGATCATTTTTCCTGGTTTTACCTACTTACAAGCTACTAGGCATAACTAATCATAAGCAAAATTATAAAACATTGTTGAAGAAATTAATTGTATGCAGATACATAGTATATCTTTTCCAAAAGTAGTATTAACTTGTGATAAAGTACTTACTCTAAAAGAGGTGAAAGTATTTCACAATTCAAAACAAAATCTCTGCATTCTGCATTGTCGCCAGCAATATTACCAAGTGCCCAAACAGCCTTGGAAAAATAAGAAAAAATCCTTTTAAAACAGTATCTTAAATATGATGCTCTCTTTTAAAAATAAAGTTTTAACACAGCTGGACATAATAGCATGTGCACATAATTCCAGTCATCTGGAGGCTGAAACAAGGAGGATGGGAAGATTCTGGCCACCCTGAGGAACACAGTGAGACCTTGGGTCACAAAAAAATATCCAAAAAATGAACAAGATTTTTGTACAGAATGAAGAAGATGATAGGTTTCAAAATGTGAAAATAAAAGTAAGGTAATAAAAAAGAAAAACCTCTAAAAGTGCAGCTTTACTTTAAAACAAATTTAAATGATTTTTTAAAAATTTTTTTATATATATGTGCTACATAGTACTAGTAAAATATCTATATGCTACTCAACAAAAAAACATATGTATTCACTCTGAACGTACATGGAGACAAAATATATCTATCTAGTACATTTTCTAATTATTTATAATATAGTTCAGTTCCTAATGCCAAGAACTCCTCTAGGGCCAGGGATTTAGCTCAGTGGCACAGGCACCTGCCTGGCAAGTGCAAAGTCGTGAGGTCAATTCCCAGTACAAAAAAAAAAGTCCTCTAACTGGAAATGTACTGATTTTTAGAATAAGAAAAGAAAGATAGAAAAAAGCATTTAAAAACCCAGTAATGGCTAAAAATGAGAATTTTAGCTTGATTAGTCAGCTTACTTTTGAAAATAAATAGTAAGCATCAAATTATTCACTTATATTAGATACGCAAATACAAACTATCATTTTATTTTCCAACTTTTCACATTAAGTAGAAAGGACAGGAGTATTTTTTCAATTGCGAAATTTTACCATTTAAAACATGGGTTTGGGCATGATGGCTCATGCCTATAATCCCAGCTCTTTCCAGGCTGAGGCAGGAGGATCATTGTGAATTTGAGACCAGCCTGGGCTACAAAATGAGCTCAAGGTGAGCCCAAACTGCATAGCGAGACCCTGTCTCAAAAAACCACAAACAAACAAACAAACAAACCCACGGGTTAATACGTTTACCCCTCTACTCTATATCTAAACTTATTTTTTAACAAAAAAAAAAAAACCTCTCTAAATATATTCTATTGAAGGACATGTTATTGATCTTATCTTTTTGTAATTCAATCTTGAAATATTGAATATTTTAAACTGTTTTCCTACTTTTTGACAGGACAGTCATTTTCCTTAATAAAATAAGGAACTTGAAAACAAATACATGATTATACATTCCAGTATTAACATTAATAAGCTAGAAATAAAAAGATATAAAAATCCAAGGATGATAAGTTATAGAAAACACACAAGCACATATTGAGTAATCAGTGAAATTTTCTTCAAAAAATAAAGCTGTAAGAAAAAGTTCCCAATTAGTGTTAAAAGGATATAAAAAGACATAAAATTCAGTGATGAATGAAATGACAGATTAACAGATCAATGTACATACAAATAATGCCAAATAAATATATCAAAATACTTGATTTTCTCTGGATAGTACAACTGTATGTCAACAAATTATCCCTCTAACAAAAAAACTCTGAAAACTGACTCAAAAAACATATTTAAAAATGATTCTACTTAAGACAATATGAGATTTTTAAAAGAAGTAATATTAAAATACTCATCTTACATATAGAGAATAAGGACTCAGAGTGGCTCAGATTTAAAATCTGCCAGCCACTTACTGTAACCTTTGATCATCTAGTAATTTTTCTGGGTCTCATATGCTCTTTAATTCCAGAATGGTAACTCCTATGTTAGCTAATACCACACTTGTAAAGAAAACAAGATTATGACTGAGGAAGTTCATTCTTGCACCTTCCCAATTTGATAATTACATTAACAAATACAATGTACAGGAAAATTAGCCACAAAATGAACTTGTAATAATAATCATAAATGGTATTTTTAAGAGAAAATTAAAATACGGATGTAACTATAGATATATATATATATATATATATATATATATATATATCAATACAAATTAGAAACTTACTTGTTCTTGAACGTCTTCATGTTCCGAATTAAGAAGTTTGATAAAAATTGGAACTGCTCCAGTTTCAATTACTACTTTTGTATGTAGAAAAGTTCCAGACGCTATATTAGTTAATGCCCATGCAGCTTCAAACTAAGGGAGAGAAAACAAAATAAAGCATGAAAGAAAATGTCAGGAAGGAGAAGAAGGACAGGGATATAAGACTTAGATGGCGAAGTCTGAGAGGAAAGACTATTAATAAGATTCACTGTCAAATCAGATTTCATACATGAAAATTCTTAAGAAAAAACCCTCTGAAGTCATCAAAATTTTGGAGATAATTATAGCTAAAGCTGGAGAGACTTATGACAAAATATCAGACTCCATCAAGAGGGGTCTAAGAGCTAGTGAGTTACAATTGCTATTCCAGTCCTTTAAGAACCGTTTTAAGACTTAGCTATTCACTGTAGTGCTCATGCTTTGATTATACAAGCTCTAATTTTTCAAAACTTTATTTTTGCCTAGGCCCAAACTGATCACATAGATAAAACTATGTGAGATTTTTTTTACTGGGTTCCACCAGATTAAACTTGTCAAGAGAGGGTTATGTGACACATTGAGGCCTTAACTAACTGTATTCAGCAGGCTTTAAAGGATATTGCAGCTTCTCTCTCTTCTAAAAGAAGAGGTAAAATTAATGAAAAAGCCATCCTCCACAACAAGATGGCATTAAACAGTCTACTAGGAGGGGAATACTTGTGCATTGTAGAAATTGAATGTTGTGTGTATATTCCTGATCCTACTGCTAATATCTCAATAGCTGTTCACGATATTAGACAGCAAATTAATGGTATGTCAGACTCTGAAATTCCCTGGACCTTATCCTTATCCTCCTTATGGGAAACTCCTACTGGTGGAAATCTTTACTGACTATATTCATAATTATGCTGTTGATCTTATTATTTGGCCCATACATACTTAATGGTTTCTTTGGCTTTGTCTCCTCCAGACATAAAGATACACACTTACCCAAGAAAAAAATGCCTGTCGTCTACTGAGGGCCTTTAGACAGACCCTCTGCAGTGGAGTATCTCTGACTGCTAAATTCAACTATAACCCTATCAGCCTTAAGAAGCCAGTTTTATCATTGTCCACTGCTCCCCTGTGGCACTCCAGAGTACTTCCTCAGAAAAGAAAAATGTTATAAACTGCGAAGTCAGATAAAAAATTTTATAGGTAGTCACACAAGGACAGGAACCAATACAGAAGACCGGGATACACTGCAATTGTGGGGGAGACATACACAATCTGCTGAGGGCTAGACCTCAAGGCAAAAGATGAAAGGAATGCACCCACATATTTCCCCAAGGATAAAACAACAGGAACTGATACACTAAATGCTAAATACATATCATTTACCTTGGGAAAGTCGGCAAGAGCCATGGACCTTCCCCCTGCAGGAAAGCCCCTGTTCTGTTCCACTGCCTACTTGCTCCATTATTTACTTCCCTATTTAATCAACAACTACCTGAGTGAGGATGCTCGTGGTCTGGTTGAGTTACCATGGTTTTGTCCCTACCTTGCACCCACCTTGTGACTTCCCTTTTTTCCCACCTTGGATCCACCTCACATTGAGGTTTTGCTCTATAGAAATCCCTAGAAAAGGAGTTGGGGATATAGCTCAGTGGCCCAAGCGCCTTCCTGGCAAGTGTAAGGGTAATGAGTTCAATCCTCAGTACCAAAAAATCCAAACAAACAAACAAAAATCCCTAGAAAAGGCAAGGTTCTTGGCAACCCACTCAGGACCCCTTCTCTCACTCTCCCTCTCAGACAGAAGCCTTCTTCCCCCATTCAATATATCCTGCTCTTAAAAAAAAAAGAAAAGAAAGAAAGAAAGAAAAGGAAAAAACCCTCTTCTTCAATCTGGAAAACAAGACCCAGAAGGAAAATGGAAATTTACAAAATCAACAATACTGTATAGAAACACACACTATTTTATAATTCATAAAACTCCTAATGCTTATCATTAGAGTCAGTGTTCTAAAGCAAGCAATTTAAAAATAAATAAGACACTAATAGAACAACAGAATCATAAGAAGCACTTGTTTCCATTAGGACCAATTATCATCAACCTCTGCATTTAAGACAAGAAAATTTAGACATTCAGAAATTTAGATGTTTATTCAACACAAAGATTTTACTATTACCAGAACCACTGAATAGGATTCCTGTTATTCTCTTAAGCAACAGACCCTTTGTGAAGCTACTCATATCTATCCAATTAGAACTAAATCTATTAAATATGATGGATTTTAATAGCAGTGACTGAGAAAATTCAATCCATAACTCCCAAAGTTGCATTAAAAGGAACCTATAAATTCACAAACTAAGTAGGGACTGTAATTTGCAAGAATACAGTTTTCTTAGTAATGTGGATGTCAGAAATTAACAAAAAGTGCACCACAAAGCACTACTGAAATACTAAAAAGTATATTCATTATGTGTGAGATTAAGAAACATTTTAAAGGAAGAATCTGTATTTTAAAAAAATCATTGAGGGTCGGGGATATAACTTAGTGCTACAGCATTTGCCTCGCATGTAAAAGCTCTGGGAACAAACTTCAGCCCTACTAAAAGAAGAAAGAAAGAAGACAAAGTTAGGAGATTATAATCGTAATCATTATAAATAATGTAATGAGGGCTGGGGATTTAGCTCAGCGGCGTAAGCACCTGCCTTGCAAGCAGGTGGTTGTGAGTTCGATCCCCGGTACCGATAAAAAAAAAAAAATGTAATGAAGGCAACAAAAGATTACTCGACAAAATTCTCCTTGTACCCTCCTAGAAGCATGCATTAGCGAAGACTGTTAAATTCACAAACATAGCAAAATTGTGAAAAACCACAATGCAAGCTACATTTTAAAAAGGAAAGAAAAAGCCTGGATATGCAGCTGAATAGTAAAGCACTTGCCTAGCACGCTTCCCCAGCACTGAAAGAAAAAAACAGAAAACACCCAGAACTTCAACTTAGAACCATTTCATCTTTACTATCTGGCATCAAAGTTAACTCTCCTGATTTGTCAAAGTTAGCTGAAAACCACGGATATTCACTTGAACTTCCCCAAAATATAAGTCGGATAAGCATCTCGACATATTTTAAAATGTGTGCACAACCTCCTGGCCTTTCCACTAAGATCAAGTGTAAAATGTGTGTGCAGACCAAATAAAACTTGTTTGTCCATCAGTCTGGCCTACTGGACCCCAGCTGGAGGCTTCTCTATTAGTTAGACTAGTGGTCTGAACTAGTACATTCATACATACCAAGGTAACATGTGCAACATGGAGCTGGCATATACTGCTGAATTTAAGCTTAATTACAATGATTAATAAGTGCTCAAATTTCCAACATTTATGCATATGCCACACTTTCTGTATATTTTATCTTTCCAACGTGAAATTCATTTTCCTCTTTCTAGTCAGCCAAATTCTCCTTAATTCTCAGGACCACCTTGGTGAAGTCCTTCTTAATTTTTCCACAGAGAATAAGTGGCCATGACCTCTGTGCTCTCTCAACACTTTGTTTATAGTTCTATTATAGCACTAAGCATACAAATCCAAATCTGTTTATATGTCTCCCTTCTGGAACACGAAGTAGAAGTTCTGTAGTCAAGAACAATGTCTTAATTTTGGAACTACAAAATTACGCCTTGTATAATACTGTGCTCAAACCAACACTCACTGACTTTATTCATATTCACTCATTTCTTTTTCCACACAATTCAAATTAAAGAGCCAAATAATAATCTAGACATCAGGAAACCTGAGTTTTAGTCTAGAATTAGAGCTCGGATAAAGCAAAAGGACTAGATTCCTGGATTTTTAACTGAAAAAAGGGGACTATAATAGCATAATATTATATGCTCAGAGATATAATTTTCCTCAGAGATCCTTACTGTAAACAGTATCAACAACTTTTCACATTTACAGAAAAATCCTTTGCTTATACTTAAAACGTGAAGGCCTTTCCCAAATCATTCAGAGAAGTGGAACACTACTCAAGTTGTTACTCAAATAACTACTTTTCATTACTGACAACAGCACTGATAATTAGGTATACGTCTTCTGCAACTCCTGAAATATAAGATATAATCCACCTTGTGCTCTTACTTAAGAATAGATACAGCAGAGCTAGGAAGGTAGAACAGTGAGTGCCTGTCAGATATGCAAGGTCCTGAGTTTGACCTCTAGCACTACTGGAAAAAAAAAATGAGATCAGGAAGGATAATCATTTTATTCTACTGTTGTTTTAACATTGGAATACTTAGAAACTGAAGTGGCTTACCACTAGCAGCAAATTATTTATGACTAAGAAGTAATGCTCTTTAGGACAAACCTAATTTTGGTCATATGTTTAAGCATACTGATCTAATCTTTTTTCTAAAAAAAGAACCGAACAGCTGCAATGTGTTTTAAAGGTAAAAGTTATGACTCTAGTTAGCTAACAACCAAAATAAATTAAACCATTAACATTTTATTTTGAGTTTTCCAAAATAAGTGTTTATTAAATACTGATAACCATAAAATTTTGTTAATATTAACAATGGTTTCATTTTTTTTCAAATTGTTTAACAAAATAACAATTCCTAGAAGAAACTAGTACTGTAATCATACCCAGGGCAAGACAGATAACCCTACCTTTCCATTTAATTGATAAGTATTTAGTGACCATTTGGAACAGTCATTACTGGAGAAATCATTTTTACAAGAAACTTCAATATGTCATTTCTTTTTTTCTTTTCTTTTTTTTTTTTTTTTTTTTTTGTCTTTTTCCTTTTTGTGGGTACCAGGGATCGAACTCATGACTGCCTGCTTGCAAGGCAGACTCTTATGCCGCTGAGCGAAATCCCCAGCCCCCAAGAAACTTCAATATATCATTTCTATAAAGAGATTAAGAAAGAAAATGTTAGACTCACTTGTAAAGTACAATTTTCATTTCTTTCAAGAAATTTCACGAATCTCTGAACAACTCCCGGTTTCTGTATAACTTGATCTATTGGTGGATTAGGTTCTAAAAATAAGAAATTAATACTTAAACGAAAAGTATATTTCAGTTAACAATTTACACAAAATAACTCACCTAGGTTTCCATATCTAAGTTTAAAACTCTGAACTAGATGTAACTGAAGACAAATACTATTACAACTGCAATATTTATACAAGTTCTATCTTTTCATTAACCATAAGGATAGGATATTTAAATATGTATTTCCTGTAAATTTAAATTTCATAAGTTGAAGACTACTTAGGAGGTCATCTTTATACACAAATATTTCAGTGCAATAGTCAAAAGAGCATCTCAGAGACAGGGTTCCCAATAATCCTCTACGGTACTATCTTTGTTACCCAAGGATAATTCCATCTGTAAAATGACAACTTGTTTAATGTCCCTCAGCCAAAAGGGATTCTATTTTATAATTATAATTTGTAACATTACTTATTATTTATAAAAATACTATTGGACAATCCAAATTTCTTCATAAATTTTTATGAATGTAAAAGACTTCTGAGTATCACAAACTCCACAGAAATACAAGTAAAGTTAAAAGAATATTTCAGATACTACCTAAGTACAAAGAAATCTTTTCTACCTTGGCTTCAATAAAAAGTACCTTTTGTGATTCTGCAGTACCTCTATTGGTGTTCCTGTAAGTCTTATTCCTATTTCTTTTCTTCCTAGAAGATTTATGTTTTGTTAATTCAGTTGTCAGCTGTCACTTATCATTTATGCTACTTCATAAACTTCTTTAAAAAAATTTTACCACACTCGAGACTGTATCTCTAAGTGTCTATTAGATTCCCTTTTGTTTTCATAAACTCTTAAAAATGTAGCATAAACAAAACCAAACTCATACCACTATGCTTACTTTTTTTTTCCTGGTCTTACATCCACCATACATATCTGTGTAGTAATAAGTCTATCTAGTCATAAAAAAAAAAAAAAACAGAACTCTCATTTTTACTTCTAAATTCTGTAAAATTTTAATTAATGAAGCTATATCCATTAGTTTAATTTAGGTGCTCTAAATAAAAAGTCCAAATTCTTCAAAATGTTCATTCCAGACCCTACCTAAAAGGATAAAATAATATATAATGTTCTTTAAACCATTTACTTTCCAGCTTTTAAAAAACTCAAACAAAAACTACAGGGTTTTAGTTATCATTTCACATTGTTGATTTTTTTTCTTCCCAAAAGAAAATACTAAATTTACTACTTTTGAGAGACAAAAATTTGTCTTGTTCTGTTTGAGAGTAGAATAAGATGAGTTTGGAAGAAGAAAAACTTTCGTTTGGATGGTTGTGAGGAGTTCACACTGGACTCCTATATATATGCAGGCAAATTTAGATACAAACATGACATACAGAGAGATCAGAACCCAAATGCAGTCTCTTCCTGGAGAATTACAGGAAACACATTTATGGTTCTCTCCACTGAAAAGAAAACAACATTACCAACCATCTTACATATCATGAACTGTTATTAGTACGTAAAGAGAAAATAAAAAATAATACTCTATATTAATGATGGCAAATCTTGTAGAGAAAGACTGCCACACTGCAACCCAAACCCCCACTTATATTTACCACAAAGTGCCAATAGTGCAATTACAGCTGAACACTGAGGCTTTAGTTAAAAAATAACAATTCTACATTAACATCATTTGTCCAAAAGAAAAACACAGTAATAGGCATGCCATGGGTCCACCACCACTGCTCTAGAAAATTTTACAAAAGTGACAAAAACCATTATATAGTCTTTCAGTCCTTATGGCAATGTAAAGAAGCAATAAAGCACTGAACTCTAAGCAAGAGATGGAAGAGCAGGGAAGTGAAAAGAATTAAGATGTATTACGCACCTACACCAACTCTCCATGATGAATGTAGTCATTACATACTACAAACATGTACTAATTAATTTTTTAATTTAAAAGATTAGAGAAAAGAAAGAAATTTAATTTAAGAGATTAGAGAAAAGAAAGAAAATTAAGCAAGAATAATATAAAACAAAAGGCTTTGGAGGGATTTCTACAAAACAAGGTGGAGGAACAGTAACAAAGATGACTTGTGATTTACATGCACAAGAACAACCATGATAGAGAAGTCGGATTTTTTAAAAGTTTTATTTAAAGAAAGTCTAAACAAAACAGAAAATTGGTAGAAATAACACATACGTTCAGAGAAAAAATAAACAGTAAGAAATCACTAGTTAATGTTAACATGCTGTCCTTTTACAAATAGTTGTTCAAGTTACAAAAGTGGAACACATAAAGTGGGAATTCAAACAGTGAGACAGCAAACAGTTCTGTTCAACTATCCAACACAAACTTAGTAATATGGTTGTTAATTCTAAACACTTAAACATACATGCAGTTATCCATATCTTCATTTATGTTGCGATTAAACAAACTAAAGCAGGCTAAAGTCATTCTGAACAAAGAATAATAGTTTTGCTGGATTTCACATCATGACACTCCAGGATCAGCACTGGGTACTTTAGTGTCTCTTTTTCTTCAAAGTATTGGTTCATTTCATTATGTATCATAAGCAATTCTACACATGCATGAGTCTTAACATGTATTTCTATCTTTTCTATATTAGAGGGAGAAACAAAACAAAGCAAGACAAAACAAAACTGAAAAAGACATAAGACCGTTGTACAAGGAGTTCTACCATAGTTCCTGTGTTGTCTCTTGTTATGTTCAATAGAATTGACTATATCATCAGATAGCATAATTGAATATATCAGTACATAACAGTATTAATAAAAACTGAACTTTGTATATAGTACAAAACTTCAAAAACAGGCAGTAATCAAATCAGAATATGTATCGTAGAGTCTTGTCATCTTCAGTGTAGTTGCCTATACTCTGACTTGATACTATCAATCATATCAGTTTTGCATAAAATCTTTCAATACCAAACAGCAATCAAACAAACCAGATTTAACTAAGATCAGTCATGATAAAACAGTGTAAGTCATACAGGGTTCTAGATTAAGATAATAGGAAATTAAAGATGATTAATGTGCTATACCCTGATGATTTGGGGATAGTTGTCTGTGACCTCAAATGTAATGCACGAGACAACTGGGGCAGAAGAAAATCTATCCAAAAAAAGAGAATAAAATCTATCTAAGCAGAGTGGTGCGAGTAATGTGGGTTTTAAATCCTGATACACTATTAACAATATCTTCTGCCATCTCCTTTTTAAGACTCTCCCTCCCCTTTCACTTCCCCAGGGTACACTATGCATTTTGGAATCTGACTAAGACCCTTGATTTTAAATTGGGGGGGGGACCAATCTACTATTTATGTAATTGGTTCCGAACCTTCTCTCTCCTGGACTTGATCTCTAATTGTATTCCTTTACCTATTAAAGCCTGTCTTTCCAACCTATCCACAAATACTGGTCTAGTTGCCTCTATTACTCTTTGGTTCTCTGTCACATAGAGCATTGTTTTCTCATATTTGATTTTCACTCCATGTACTCTTTTCATGTTAATTATATTTCCTATAAATAGTATCTCAGTGGACCCTGCCTCCTGATCTACTCCACGTGTGGTTTTTTTTGTGTGAATTTAGTGTATCAAGGCCATCTATATTAGAGATTATATAACCAACCTTCTCTGCCTCATTTCTGTTATGCTCTTCTGTTATGATGGCTTTTTGCCATCAGTTGTCTGCTTATCTTCTTCATTCTGTTTTCTGCTCCAGTCATTGAGGCTTCTCTGCCACTGTTCCTGGAATCCTAGTACTTTTCTCTCTCTAGAATACCTTGCAGTATTCTCTGTACAGTTGGGTTGGTGGCTGCGAATTTCCCAAGTTCCTCTTTGTCTTGGAAGCATCTTGTTTCTCCATTCATTTCTAGAGACAGTTTAGCAGGGTATATCAATCTGGGTTGCAGGTTATTTTCTTTCAGGGCTTGGAATATTTCGCTCCAGGATCGCCTTGACTTGATGGTTTGTGTCGAGAAGTCTGCCGTGATTCTGATGGGCCTTCCTTTATAGGTTATCTGTTTCTTGTCTCTAACAGCTTTTAATATTCTGTTCTTACATTGAATTTCTGGGATCTTGATTATTATATGCCTGGGTGTAGCTCTATTTTGGTTGTTGATGGCTGGAGTTGTGTATGCCTCATACATCAGAATATCATTTCCTTTTCCTATGTTTGGGAAGTTTTCCTTAATTATTTCTGTGAATAGCCTTTGTAGTTCCTTTGTTTTTACCCCTGTTTCTTCATTCACATTCTTTATTCTCAAGTTGTAGATCCTCTTGTTGTCTTCTAGCCTTTGTATTGTTACTGCTTGTTCCCTTGTTATTTTTAAAAAGTTTTTCCTTTCATAATCTCACACTGCAAAACTGTCCTCCACTTTGGATAATCTATCCTTAGTTTCTTTCAAGCAGATTTGCCATCTTTCCATAGTTTTTAATTTCCTGATAATCTCTTTGAATTCTTTGAATGTGCTTCATGTATTCTATATTTTTTTAAATTCTTCATCAAATGGTTCTCTCCTTTGAGTTCCTCCCTTCTTCCGTCTGTGTCCACTTGAGGGGTTCTTAGCATCTCTTTTATTAATCTTCTTATATCTTGCTTTACTTGGCTAAATATTTCCCTTTTGAACTTGTCTATGAGGTCCCAAAGATATCTCTTTATGTCCACTGGTGCTGTGTCTGATATTGCATGTTTGCTGTTCTCATTCTCCTTTGTATTTACCTGTTCTGGGTCAATGTTCTCAGGGTTGGGACTTGGGAACGTTTTGTTGTTGCTTCCTCTTCTCATCTTTTTTGTTTCTTCTAGGAGGCCCTAGTTTCTTTCTTTGTTGGTTACAATTATTCTGAAGCAAGCTGGCTAGGTGACCCTTCCCACTGCAGTGTGCTAGTGAGTTGCAGACAGGAGCAGCGTATGCTGGCCCCTCCCCTCCAATCAGTCAAGCTGCTGAGGCCTGCACTGTATTACTATGCGTCGCCTCCCCTCTGGATCAGTCAAACTTCCGAGGCTTCACTGCCTTAGTGTGGTTACTGTGCACTGCCGCAGTACGGAATTGATTTCAGACAACCTATTGGGTCCCAGTCAGGTTGCCTGACCCATGCCTAGCTCGCTCCACCAATCCTGTTCAGAAAGGGAACAACTGACTGAAGTCACTGCTACGCCTTGTAATTGCCAGTCCTGCCCAGACCCAGAATGTCATCTGCCGGAGGTCCCCTTTCTGTGGAGTGGCTCCACTCCTGTCACTCACCACAGGTCGATGCAGGCTCCCCGCCAGCTGAGCTCTCTGTTCAGCTAGCCAACCCCCAACCTCAGTGTGATTGCGCCTCCAGTGAGTCGAAGCAGCGGGACCTCACACAGCTTGACAAGTCGCCCATTGCTGCAGGAGCGCTGAATCTTTAGCTGTTTCAATAATAGCACCGGGACTGTATATTTGATTGGTTCTTCTAACCTTAGTTTCTTCTTGGGACGAGAGAATTCATATTCCTCTGTTCGGGCCTCCCCACACTGTATTATGTTGAATTCTAAGTTGACTATCTCAGGGAGCCAGCTATTATCTATCCACCATCTTTGCTCCACCCTCCAAGAAGTCAGACTTTGGCAAAAGGTTATTATCATGAGTATAGGAATACAAGCTGATGCTAAATGTAGGCTGTGGAGTCAACAGAGGCATATCTCTATCTCCCTAAAACCAATAGTAACAACACTATTTGCAAGCCTTCTACTGGGTTATCTTTGAGTTCTAGTTATAGCTATTTTCCCATGATTATTATACTAAAAGGTGAAGTAAAACTGTAGTAATTCTAATATGTTTCTAAGCCTGAGAGATCTGTCAGGAATTAGGTCAATTACTAAAAAAAAAAAAAAAACTATTTCCTCATGTATACCCAATCAAAACTCCACTTTTAAGAAGAAAAATGACTATCTCTATGAATAAGCAATATACTTTAACAGAAACAGAACTTTGAGTAACTAGAAAAAACGAAGATGAACTCTTCTGACCAAAGAATTCTAAATCTAGACAACTTCGTCATAAACATAAAGAATGTTTACACACTCTGGCACTGCAACTTTCAATGATGGGAAGAATATAAAGAAAAGAAAATCCGTTGAGTCATGCTCTACCTTAATAAATCAAAACAAAGATGCTGATAATGGTGAAGTTATAGTATAAAAATACCAGCAGACAAACTCTTAGACATACTAAAATCTATAGAAATTTTGTTAATCATTTATGGTATCCAACACATGTCAAAAAAATCTTGAAAGATTATAAGATAATAAAAAAATAAAAATATTAATCTAGCCAAAGTAATATCAATCACCAAAACAACAACAAACTGAAATGTGGGGTGGAAAAGAAGTCATTCTTTTTTTTTTTTGGTACCAGGGATCGAACTCACAACCACATGCTTGCAAGACAGGCATTCATGATACAGAGCGATATCTCTAGCCCAAAGTCATTCTTAACCGTATAATGATTTTTTAACAAGGCTAAGCTACTTTATCTTGGGATGAAGAATTGGAAGACAAGCATTAAATGCATGTATGAACAAGTATTTATAAAAAAAACAAAAGTAAAATGCCTTAGAACCTATAAGGACCTGACTGTAAGATTTCTTACATCCTTCATGTGTTAGGAAATTCTGTCTTTGTTAGGAATGTAAGGCATTTTCAAAATCTTTTCAGTTCACATATGTAATTCTACATAAATGCAAATTCTGTAAATTCTATATATGAAAATAAGAGACTAAAGCTTAAGTTTTTGAGTAATGATTCTTATTGGCTCAATATAATAAATTTGAATAAATAACAGACATTTTAGAATTATGTAAGCTCAGGGCTGGGGATTTAGCTCAGCGGCATAAGCGCCTGCCTTGCAAGTAGGCAGTCATGGGTTCGATCCCTGGTACCGAGAAAAAGGAAAAGACAAAAAAAAAAAAAAAAAAGAATTATATAAGCTCAATAAAAAGGAGAAATATCTGGCCTAATTTAAAAAAAAGGCTACACATAAAATGATTACATAAGCAATTGTATTTTTAAAACCTGTGCCAATAAAAATACAGTAAAAAATACTTGTATAAATTGCAGAAGAGAGTGTAAATTGATTTCATTGCCTTTGACTCACAACTTCATTTAAAAAGTTTTAGATTACACAATGATTTTTCTTTTTTTTTAATTTTTTTTTTTGTCTTTTTTGTTTTTATCGGTACCCGGGATTGAACTCACGACTGCCTGCTTACAAGGCAGGCGCTTATGCTGCTGAGCTAAATCCCCAGCCCCACACAATGATTTTTCTATAAATAGTTATAATATTCAAACATGGGAAAAAAATTTAAGGCCTCAATTATTATTCTAAACTCACATTCTATAATGTTACATCACCATTTAAAAATATTTATGTCTGAAAAATAGTTCAATAAGAATTTATAACCTTGTTTCTCTACACCAAGATTAATCAACTTTTATATTTGGTTCTTTAAATTTTTTTCAATTTCGAAATTTTTCTAAAATGAATGTAGTACTCTGATAATAAAAAAAAAACATTATTTTGTCTGTGTGCGTGTATACATATTTTTTTTTCTTTCTTCTTTAGTTTTTTATTTTCTTGTTTTTTGAGACAGAGTCTCACTATGTAATTCAGGTGGACCTTGAACTCACTACGCAGCGCAAGCTGGCCTCAAACTCAAAGTAATCTTCCTGCCTCAGTCTCTCGAATGCTGGGCTTACAAGTGCACATCATCACACTCAGCTTTGTATATATTTTAAAAAGAAACTAAAATCTATTGTCTGGCAAATAAAGGCATATAAAATTTTTTTTAAATCTAACAAAATGAAGCTCTACTACAAAATCCTATTATATATGCATAGTAAAAATAATTCTTGCCTTTAGAAAGAAGCTTTCTAAATTTCTGTGTTGCCATTAGCTGTTCTTCGGCATTATTAGAAAAAATCATATGCATCATGTCTTTGGTAATAACATCTTCCTGCAGCACACAAAGAAAATAAAATCAACATTTAAATGTTTCATATGAATAGTATCTGCTACAAATACTGTCTCTGAAATATTGTTGTAGCATAATTCATAATACATTTACAAAAACATACCTCTGGGATAGGTACAGTAGAACTGATATCTGGATCCTGGATAGGACTTTCCAGCATAGAGTCATCATTTCTGGGCAAAGAGACATTTCTTCGTTTGAACAACTAAAATAAAGAGAAATTACTTTATATTTAAAGAGCTCTGCACAAAACATTCAGTTGTCAGTTACATTTTTCATTTAAGTGAACACAGCAAGTAACTATAACTTAAGACACTGAAATACATATTTACATTTTATAGCATTTGAAAATGCATATATTCCCACATTATGAGTATGTCCAAGAATTTTCCCAAGGGAGTCTTAATTAGAAAGCAAAGCTGCTACACAGAAGTAGCATATGGTATATTAATAGTTAGTACATCCAGTTAACAAGGACTCAGAACAGTCCCATACTTCTTTCTATCCAGGAGATGAAAAAGAAAAAAGAGATATGAAGTCATCGAAGGATATTTATAGGAGTATTTCCCAGCTCAAAACTGAGGGAACAATTCTTAGCTGGGCATGGTGGTGCATGCCTGTAATCCCAGCACTTGGGAGGCTGAGGTAGGAAGATCGCTGAGAGTTCAAGACCAGCCTAAACTACACAGCGAGACCCTGCCTCAAAAAAACAAAAAAAGAATTACATTCTTTTTGCTAGCTAAATGCTGTTCTTCTTCAATCTATATATACTTCTTTTTAATCAACAAGGTTTATTCCGTTTTTTCTTGAGTGTTTATTGTAACACACTGAGGACTATGCAAGGTACTACAGATAAGAGCTGAGTAATCATAATGACACTTCTGATATTTTTCTTTTTGAGACAGGGTCTCATTATGTAGTTCAAGTTGGTCTTGAACTCACTTTGTTAACTCAAGCTGCCCTCAAACTCCCTGCAACCTTCCTGCCTCAGCCTCCCGGGTACTAGGATTATAGGCATGCTTTCCATTCTCAGCATATAATGATATTTCTAAAAGGGGCTGTTTTCCACTTTCTTCACTAGTCCTTTTCATACATGAGTTTTAATTATAAATGTTATCTATAAATATTATTTGTTTATGGATTGTTTCTAAATGTATGGGTATCTTGGAATAAAATGTTGAGATGATCACTCTTAAATGATTTCTATTCTTCGTGTTATATGTGCAAAATATAAACAGAAGAATAAGAGTCTTGCTTATGACTACAGGAAAAAGAGAATAACTAACATTAGAAGATTACTATAATTAATTTAAAAAGCTAGGAACACCCCAAAGCAACAATAAACTTAATTCACAGTTTTGGTAGTGTGGCAAGCAACTTTTACAAGGAAACATGGAAATGATTCAACAGTAAAAATTTCTTAGCAGTGGGGTAAAAATATAAGAGATTTATTCAAACATAAATGTCATTCCTCAGTGATTAAAAACAGCACAGGGGTTTGATTCATGGATTTACAGAACTTTTTTGTCAAATAAAATGAAATACTTTAAAATCCTACCTGTTCTTCCCTTTTTTGTTTACGAAGCTGTATTCCTTCTTCTTCTCTCCTACGCATCTCCTGAGGATTTAGGGCTTTATTCTTATAACTTTTCATTCTGTAGTTATCTTTTCCTAGACTCGCCATAGAATCTTAAGGAAAAAGCAGAAAACAGACCCAAATAACTCTCAAACTAGGTAGTATCTTGCTCTAGGGCAGTGACAGTAAGCCTTTTAGAGCTTTCAGTGATAATAGCAGCTGCTGGTTTTCCACCACTGCTCTAAGGCAACTAAATACAGGCTGACTGATTACACAGACCAACACAATACATCTGCAACTTATATACAAAGAATATTTTCTCTCACTCTTCATCAAGTTCAATAATGAATTTATGTATTTTCTATTTATTTTTAATTTACCTAAAGTAAAAATCACCCTTTTAACATACAAGTCTATGAATATAACAAATGCACAGGCTTTAAAACTATGTCAGGACAGAACAGTTCCTCTGCCCTCAAAACAACCATCAAGTTATTCCAAACGGCCTTCTCCTTATCCTGTCCCTGAGATGATTTACATTTTAGCTGCTTTTCCTAAATGCCATATAAATGGAATCATATAACATGTGATCTTTTGAGTGTGGCTTCTTTTATTTAGTATTTGAAAGCCACAAATGTTGTTGACACATATCATTTGCACCTTATTGCTCAATAGTATTCTGATGTCAGCTTACTCATTTATTATTTGAATAACATTTCAGTGGTTTTTTAGTTTTAGAGCATTATAATGAAGTTGCTACAAATATTCATAGGTGTTTATATAAACATTAAGCATTTTTAAATTGTGTAAATATCTAGAAGTAGATGGGAAGTGTGTGTTCACTTTATAAATAATGTCAAACTGCTGTCCAAAGGTATGGTTCCATATGGGATTTTGGAATCCCATATGACAATTCCAGGTGTTTTGCTATTTGCCAGGTGTACTTCCTATTGTCAAGACTGCTTTTGATCACTGTAGCTATTTTAACAGATGTACAATAACTATGACTTTAAACATGTCAAATTTCTGCTATGCTTATGACAAATATAGAAGGTTTTGATCTACAATTGGTTGAAAATGCAGGTTAGAATACAGGACAGGGGTCTTGACTGATCATCCAATATCATATAGGGTTATAACAGTCAGCTGACCAAAGGAGAACCCTTTAGGTTATTCACATGTTAGCGGATAATGGCAAAAACAAAGGAAACCGAAATGAAATAGATCAGAGAAGTAAAAATGAAAGTAAAAAAGTGTTGTGCAAGAAAAGGCAGCTGAAATAAAAGATTGTAACAGTAGTGCTAAAACTGTAATAAAGCTGAATAGCACTAAAAAGACTACTCAGCTTTTTCATTCACTGACTGAACTAGCAAACGTAAAGTGCCATCAAAAGTAAAGTACCAAACCAGTCATTAGATTTGGTAAGTGGTCACTGATTTAAACACAGTAAAAGAGACTTCTGGGAAGATTGCAGAATAGTGAACAGCACAAAAACAAGCTCTCCAAAATTTAGTGTCCAGATACTGGAATATAGTAATGTAAGGAAGCAGAAAAAGAGGGAAGGGGGTTCCTAGGATCCAGCAAGGATCTGAAATGAGAATTAAAAGTCCACAGGGAAAGCAGGGAGAGACATCTCACCAAGGAAGGAAGTACTGCTTTCTCCTTGAGTTCTGACTCCATGGGAGGGCTGGCTCAAATCTACAGATGAACAGCAACTACTGGCAATCCCATAGGTCTACACAGAGAAATATACCAGTAGAATGAAAACTGCAGTGGATAGTGAGTTACTCAGGTTCAGATGCTCCCCAGAAGAAGGCAACTAACCAGTAGCCATCTTGGAGAGGAATGAACTGAGCTTGGAACTTAGACCAGCTGCAGGCCAGGTCCATTTAGCAACTCCCAGTGCCAAGGTGAAGCAGAACTGAGTCCAAGTTGGCAAGAGATCAAGGAGCTGAGTTCAAGCCAACAGAGACCTAAATTCAAATCAGCAGGAAGAACACAGAGTATTGCAGGCTAATCAAATTGAGGTCCAGCTTCACAGTCAGAAATCAGCCTAAACTTTAGCAGAATGGAAACTGAAGTTTCCCAGGATTATCCACTATCCCACCATAAATCTACGGCTGGCTGGCTGGGATCAATTGACATGGATATGGGCTCTTTCAGTCCCCTCTGTCTACCAGCAGACACACCAAAAAAAGTAGACTTTCTTTTTTGCTCTTCTTATTTTTGTTTTCTTTTTATTGATTATTTATTATTTGTTTATATTAGTGTAAACTGTGTTTCTAGATTTTTTTCTTATTATTCTGGTTTGTTTTTATTTTTTCTTGGGTTTTTTTCCTGGCTTCTTCAACAGTTTCCCAAAGTTTGAGTCATCTTCCTCTGTCTTCCAGCTTTACTGCTAATCTCTTCCTTTTCTTCTATTTCTGTTTCTTCCCCTTAACCCTTTTTTCTCCTATGAGGGTCAAATCACCATACTGAGGGCCTATTTACTGTATTCAATTTCCTAGTGTGTTTTAGACTTTCATATATGACCACAAACCTAGTTCTTATGTTAAAGGTGACAGATTAGTAGTTACTACAATTTGTCATATTCTGTGCTGTGTCTGAGCCATTGTCATAGCTGATTGTACTATTTTAGCAAAGGTGACATAATTATTCTAATCAGTAGCTCTTCCTGAAACAATATCATAGGCAGTGTCAAAGAACCAAGGATTATGTCAAATATACAGCAATTTCTCATCTGTAATAAATTGAAGAGACAGGATCTTGCAACAGACTCAAAATCCAAAAGCCAGCTATGCCTAAAAGACATCCCTGAAAAGTAGTCATTCCCTAAGGGTTCTCAATACCAGTAATAAAGCTTCCTACCATAAGCAATTTACAAGCATCAATCCAGAAATTAAAGTAAAATAAAAGAAAATGACAAGACACTTAAGCAAGATGCAACCTCAGACTTCCAGCTCTAATCTAGGGGCAATGAAGAGAAATCATTTGAAAGCCATCCAACTCGATTCTCAGAAGTGATAAGAGAGGAGGTAATAAAGCAGATAACAAGGCTCTAAAAAATAAAATAAAATAAAAATAATCTGTCATATAAATAAACAGTTAGTGACCATGAAGAAAGACATGGTCAGTGAATGCAGAGCACATACAGAAGAATAAAAAAAGAGAGAGAGAGACACTTAGGAAAATGATGGAAACTAGGAAAGCCCAAAATAGGAATGATAGGAATCCATGAATGATCAAACAGATATCTAGGAAATTAAAAATTCGATTGAAAGTATATGCAGCAGAATAAGCCAATGTGATGGCAGAATACCAGATATAAAAGAGGATTGTGGTTAGCGATCATGAAAAGAAAGATTACTTAAAAATAATGAGGGACCATGAAAAATCAATCCAACAGCTGCTAAATGATGCAAAATAAGAATAACATAAGATTCCTCAGAGTCAATGAAAATTACAAACTTATTTAAAAACAAACAAACTTGTTCACTGAAGTACTGGCAGAAAACTTCCCCAGAAGGGAAAAAAAATTTGACATCCAAACAAGTGAGGCATGCAAAACTCCAACTAACTACGATAAAGAAAGTATCTACACCAAGGAATATAATGGTCAAGATTCCAGAAATTCAACACAGAATTGAATATTAAAAGATGTTAGAGAAAAAAAATCACCTATAAGGCAAAGCTCCTCAGAATAAGGAAGGCTTATCAACACAAACCTTGAAGTCAAGGACAATTTGGAGTGAAGCATTTCGAATCCTAAAATAAAAGCTCTAACCTACCTGATATACACTGCAAAACTTTCAAAATTGATGGAAAAATAAGATATTTGCAAAACATGACCACTAAAGCAGCACTCTGAAATGTTCTGAAGGACATACTAAAGAGATAATGAGGGCTACAACTCAATTCACCTGGCAAAGCAAGCAATTAAAGAGGGGGAAGGACAGGAGACCAAAAATAGGAAATAACATGACAAGGATAAGTCAATACATATTGGTTATAACCATCAATGTAAATGATTTCAGTTTACCAGTCAAAAGAAACAGAATAGCAGAAGCAAGAAGCAAGATCCAACAGTATGCTGCCTACAAGAAACACATTTAATTCAAAAACAAATTCACAGACTGAAAGCCACAGGATAGAAAACAGTATGTGGCAGTAAACCGGAATAAAAGCAAGAATAGCTATTCTTTGTGCAGACAAAGTAGATCTCAAACTCAGACTGATCAAGATAGACAAAGCCATTATATCCTTGTGAGGGATCCATCTAAGACAAACAGATAACAATCATAAAATACACAAAATACCTGTGAACCCAACTATATAAAACAAATAATAACAAAAATGAAAAATCAAATAAGTAGTAATATAATTAATGGGGGACCTCAATACACCATCACAAATAGATCATCTAAACAAAAAATCAACAAAGAAATACCGAAACTAAAGCAAACTTCTGAACAATGGATTTAGGTGATGTTTACAGAGTGTTCCATCCCAAAATAGCAGAATACACATTCTCTTCAACTACACGGAGAACATTCTCCAAAATACACCACTTATTTTTTCACAGAGTAAGAAAATGCAAAGGAACTGAAATGTATAGAAACTTCATAAATATATAGAAATTAACACCATCCTGAACAACCAACAGGTCAAAGTTGAAATTGAAGAGTTAATTTCTACAATTAAACAATAATGCCAATACAACATACCAGACACTATGGGACACAATGAAGGCAGTCCTATAAGGGAAATTTATAGAAGAGAATCCTCAAATCAGAATAACATACCAAGCCTAATACTGTACCTCAAGCTTCTACAAAAAGAACAAGTTAAGTCCAAAGCTCATATGAGGGAGAAAATGATACACATTAAAACAGAAATTAATGCAATAAAGACTAAGAAAACAATACAAAGAATCAATGAATCCAAAAGTTGGTTTCTTAATAGAGTGAATAAAACTGACAGACCCTTAGCCAACTTTACCAAAAAAGGGAAGACTCAAATACATGCAATTAGGAATGAAGAGATTCTGTAGAAATCCAGAAGATTATCAATAACTACTTCAGGCACCTATATTCTGATAAGATGAAAAATGTAGAAGAAATGGACATATTCTTAGATACATCTGAATTACTAAGGCTGCAACAAGAAGATACCAGCATTCTAGTAAGCCAATATCAATCAATGAAAAGGAATATGTAATTAAAACCCTACCATGAAGAAAAACTCAGGTCCCGAAGGATTCACTGTTGAATTGTACACGACATTTAGAGAAGTATGGTACTTCTGAAATTCTTTAGTGAAACTGAAAAGGAAGCAAACTCCCAAACTCATTCCTGGAAGCAAACATTACCCTGATACCAAGACCAGAGAACTATCCAAGCAAAAAAAAAAAAACAACTACAGTCCAGTCTCTCTAAAGAACATAGATATAAGAATTCTCAACAAGATACTGGCAAACAGAATGCAGCTGATCATCAACAAGATTATATACCATGATCAAGTAGCATTCATCCCTGGGGTGCAAGGTTTAACACACACAACTCAAAATTAACAGACCCAAGGACAAAAACTATATGATCATCTCAGTATATGCAGAAGAAGCATTTGACAACACTCAAGAAAAAACCCTACAGAAAATCAAAATAGATGATCTTTATCTCAAGCTGAAAAAGTCACCTACGGAAAGCCAACAGCCAACATCATACCAAATGGACAAAAACTGAAAACTTTCACTCTAAAGTCACAATCAAGACAAGGATATCCACTGTTAATACTCTTATTCAATATAGTCCTGGAAACATTAGCCAGAGTGATTAGACAAGAGAAAGGAATAAAAATGAATCAGCATAAGGAAAAAAGTATCATTATTTGTAGATGGTATGATACTCAACATAGAAGACAACAGAAACTCCACTGAAAGACTTCTAGATTTAATAACCCAATTCAGTAGCATAGCTGGATACAAAGTCAACACTCAATAGCCTTTCTGTACAGGAATAACAAACTCACTAAAAGAGAAATTAAGGAGAGCAACACCTTTCACAGTAACATTCAAAAAAATGAAATACCAAGCAATCAATCTAAAGAAGTAAAAGACCTCTACACTGAAAACTACAGTAGTCTGAAAAAGGACACTGAAGAGGATACAAGAAAACGAAAAATATCCTTTGTTCTTGATCCAATATTGTGAAAATAGGCATAGTACCAAAATTGTTACACAGATTTAATGCAAAACCAATCAAAATTCCAACAGCGTATCTCACAGAATTAGAAAAAAACAATCCTAAAACTCACTTGAAAGCAAAAGAAACCTAGAATAGCAAAGACCATTCAAGGCAACAAAGGCAACGCAGCGGCATCATAATCCCTGACCTGAAACTACTACAAAAGTACCGTGATGAACAAACAGCATGGTACTGGAGGGAAACACACACACACACACACACACACACACTTACAGGCCTGAGGATCAATGGTAGAAGGTGCAGAAATACATACAGACATACTCAGCTGCCTTATCTTTAAAAGAGCAGCCCAACATGTTTACTGGAAGGGAAAAACAAGCCTCTTTAATAAATGATGCTGGAAAAACTGGCTTTCCACATGCCAAACATTAAAACTAGACCATACCTTTCACCATGAAGTAAACTAAAATCAAAATAGATCAAAGATGTCAGTATTAAAACAGAAATACGATGTGCTGGAAGACAGAACTCTTAAAGACATAGATGTAAGCAAAGACTTTATGAACAAAACCACAAATGCACAGGAACGATCACAATCAACTGGCATCTCATCTTATTAAAAGCTTTTTGCCCAACAAGAGCAACCACCATCAGGGTGAATAGACAACCCAGTGTGGAAAAAAAAAAACTTGCCAGCTGTTCCTCAGATAAAGGATTATTGTCTAGACCATATAAACAACTAAAAAACCCAGACCCCCAAATTTAAAGGTCCAATCCAAAAATGGACATCTGAAATGAACAGTCACTTCTCAGATGAAGAATTAAGAAACAGGAACTAAATAGAGGAAAAAATGTTCAACATCACCTCTCATTTCAGAAAAGTAAACCAAGGCTGACATTTCATCTGTTATGATTGATACACTGTGTCAAACAGAATGCAACTGATTGAGAAGTTTAGAAGTTAAGCAACTCAGCAAGGAGCCAGGGTTCTTACTCTGTAAACATCCTGGTCCTGTGCTACAGGTGGGTGAGAAGATTTGTGAGTTAGGGTTACAGTTAGGGAAAGGGGGGGGGGTGACCTGTTTAGAATATAAGGGAAGAAAAGAAGCTTGCTTTCCCCCTTTTATTCTTGTTTCTTTGCTGTCTTCTGCTGCTTTTAAGTGTTGCCCCTGTGCCACACCACGCCTTGGAGCCAGCCAATTCTGGACTGAAACCTCCATAAACTGTGAGCTTAAATAAGCCTTTCCTTTCTTAATTTTGGGCGTCAGGTATTAGCAACTAGAGAAAAGTAACCAAGACAATCTTACACCAGACAGAATGGCTATTACCAAGCAATCAATCAACAACAAATACAGCCAGGGCTATGCGAAGAAGAAATGCTTCTCCATTGTTGTACACTGAGTGTAGACTGGTGCAACCACTTAGAAATCGGTGTGGAGATTTCTCAAAAACTAGAACTAGAGGTCCTATCGAACCCAGGTATTCCCCTTCTGGGCATCTCCCAAAAGAACTAAAAGCACCATACCACAGCAATATATACACATTCATGTTTATAGCAGTCTGTAATAGCTAAATCTTGGAAACAGCTCAATTGAATATCAGCCAATGAATGGATAAAGATATGGTTCTTTTATATAGTGGAGTACTATCAACTATAATAAAAAGATAATCTTGAGACTTTTTCTAGGCAAATGGATGCACCCTGAGAACACACTCTTAAGTGAAATAAATATAGTTTCTCCAGTGTGCTATACCAAAACTGTCAGGAAGCACCAAAATGTGTAATAGATATTGTGAAACAGGAAGAAAACAGTGAAATTGGAAGGGGAACTGGGGAGGCAGGACGGAAAAAGAAAAACATGAGAAAAGAAAAAAACGGACACAATGCTTTTGTAAGTAGTGAGGGAAAAAGAGGTTGAAAGGCGGGTAAAGGAACAGGGGAAAATCACATACACGAACAGATTCCTTTGATAAATGTTACCATTGTATTTACATAAAACATACCAATAAACTTAGGCTGGGATAGGACAGGCCAGAGTTCAATAAGTATTCTAATAAAATAAAATGTTCATAGAAATAAACCCCTTAAATTATTTATAACTTATATACATGGCACTTTCTAGACTACTGGTCTCTGGGCTTTACAAACCATCAAACATATTTTTGTATTTAACTTGAATACTTTTATACATTACTTTAATATACTAGACCATCATAAAATCCACTGAAAGGAGCAATTTTTAAAAACAAATCATTTTAAAAGGTAAAAGTTCTAATATTTGCTTCACACATTTGATTGAATCATTTTGTACCCCACTCGAACACACACATGTATCTTGGACATTAACACCACTCATTAACCTAGGGAAGCACACTAAACATTTCAAGAACAATGCTTCAATATAATGTTTTCCAAATACAATGGGGCCCCAACAACTCAGATATTTTTTTCCTTTTTCTCGTGATACTACTAACTCTTGCTTCTTAAATCTGCACTTTCAATAATCTCTAAACATGCCTCCTCCAATGAAGTTTTGTTAACTGGAAAATGAACTTTTGAAGCTTGTGCTTCAATAGTTAAGGTTACTTTAAAATAGGCAACATCCGGGTATGGAGGCTCAAGCCTGTAATCCCTGCTCTGGGAAGGCTGAGGCAAGAGGAATGCCATGAATTCAAGGCTAGCCTGGGCTGTATAAGTGAGTTCAAGGCCAGCGTGTACTACCTAGCGAGACCCTGGCTCAAAAAAGAAGTAAGGTAGACCAACACGTAACTTTTTTTCATTCATCAGCAAAACGAGATTGAAGCTGGACAAATAATTGTAATTTGAATTTATAGTTTTATTTTTCTGATACATGCCAGTGAAGCCTTTCATTTCTGTAAGTCTGTACTCCTTAGAAAACTAGGAGACTGTTGAGGGGAGCCCAACTACAGCTGCACGTTCACCAGCAGTCTTAGGGGCTGCAAGGTGGGGGCAGCCCCTGCTTACCAACACAGTCCCTTTCCTACAGAAGAGTCACCAGCAACTGCTGAAGCTGAGCGCCAAGTCAGGAGTCTTTGTATTTTCTTGATGTGCTCAAAAAGCTCAGGAAGAAACGTCATTGTGATTGCTGTTTGACAGCTTTTGAAACCTTCCCTCTCTGTAGCACCTCCATGAAGCGCAGGGACATTCTCCCCTCGGGAGCACAGAGCCCGCTAGGTGCACCGCGGTGGACAGGACCCGAGTCCCGGGTCCCTTCTCCAGGAGCCGCGGCACCGCCGCCCCCCAAGTGACAGCAGCTGACAAGAGGGACTGCAAGACTAGAACTGGTAGCGAGCACTGGCGAGGAAGGCTGACAGGCGTGCTCAAACGCAGGAGTTCCCTCTCGTCCAGGACCTGGCGATTTGGTCCTCTCGGTTTACTCGAAGCCCACGCCACGCCCCGTGGTCCTTCCAGAGAAATTCCACAGACCCTTGGCGAGCAAAAGTGAAAATACAGCCGCGGCTCCAGGAACCGGCAGCTCCACGAGGCACAGCCCGAATTTCCCCAGGCTCCCTAGCATCATGCCCACTCACCCACACCTACGGACCTGTCAGCCAGGCCGCGGGGAAGAAGCGACGGCCCGCACCGCCCCAGCGAGGAGCGCGGCCCGCGCTCGTAAACACGCTCGCGACCCAAGATGGCAGCCAGGGAATCTCTCGCGAGACTTTGAACTAACTTCCAGAAGCCCTTGCGATGGCGATTTACCCATCCGGCCTCACCTCCTACCCAGGTGCACGTACCAAGAGGAATGGGAATAGGTGTGCACTTAGATCTGCCACCCCTAAGAGAAGCACTCTGTCCATCCAGAGTGTAATAGTTCCTTCCGTTTACTCTAACGTGAAGGAAGTGTTAATTTTTGCTCTTCCTGCATCTATTCTTCTACCATCTGCCTAATCTTCTGATTTGGATGGGAATTCTAACTGAATTTCATAGCTTTCACTTTTGCTTCCTCATTCATTTTAGGAGGCTCCTGGGGAACTGTTTTGGGAATAGTTCCAAAAAAGTAATATTTTGGAAAAATTATCTTAAATTCCTATTGGATAATTTCTTACTTTTTCATTTACCCCTTTATGTGTGTCTTACAAGTTTGAAATGCAACTCCATTTATCATCTGCTATTTTTCTCTATTTTCTGTTCTTTCTGTTTTTGGTTTTTTTTCCCCCCGCAAAATTTCTTGAGTTGAAGGGAGGGGAGGGGAATAGGAAAGAAAACAAGAAAGATGTATCATTGTACAGATACAAATTCCCATGATGAATTTTATTAGGTATATCTAAAATGTACCAATAAAATTAATTTTTTTTAAAAAATCAAGCTGAATAATTTCACCAAAAGTTTGGTCCTAAGCTAACATAAGATCTGCAAATAAAATAGTAAAGTTCAATCACAAAAAAGTGAACTTGACTTGATTCATTTTTTTATGAATAGTTTCATATAATTAGGCAAATCTTTGACAAATGAGTTAATTTAAACTTAATAAAAAGATTTCTTCAGTTTTGTTAGCACACATTTTTACCAGGTTGTTGTATCATCATAATTATATTTATCTTTGTTTTGTTTTGTTTGAGACAGGATCTCACTGTGTAGGTAGTTCAGATTGATCTTGGGCTCACTATGTGCCCAGCCTAAACTTGAACTCAAACCTACCCTCCTACTTCATCCTCCCCAGTGCTGGGATCACAGGCATGCACCACTGCACCCAGCCAATTGTATTTATCTTTGTTAGATTTTGAAAATTCAGTACCCATTGCTATGTTTCAAGTATAGCAACTCTTGCTGTTATTCTTTGACCAAGAAATTAATTACTGTCTGTTTATATATCAGTTTTCATAAACAAATCTAGAAATTACTTTAATTATAAATGAGATAAATGTTCATAAATGTATTGCTAGCTAAGAACTCACTTTGAGATAGCTTGGACCCCGAAATAAAATCCAAGGAAGCAAGGAATCAAGAAATTTGGAGCAAAGGCTTTTATTTCAGGCCTCGCGACGCAGCCCCCTTAGGATTGACACAGAGACTGCATGCCACAAAGACTGAAGAAAGGGATTTTAAAAGCAAGAGAGAGAAGAAAAAAACAAAACCCGCAGAGCTGTTAAGCTGTTGACTTACTTCTGATAACATCTGGAGCTTTTGGTGCCTTTCGTTATCCTATCTCAGAATAGCACATCTGCAATAAGATTTGGAGAAGGAAGTAGAAAGTTAATTATCTCAGGACAGCTCATTAGCAATAACATGTGGAAAGGGGTAGAAAGTTAACAAGAAGCTGAAACTTAAGTTTTTACAAGGATTAGAAACTTAATCCTTGTAAGGATCTATTGGCGCATACAGAACAAGAGGAGGTGCATTGGTTAGAGTTAAGCCATGACAACTTTTATGAAAGTAAGTCAAAATACAAGAACTTCAACTGTTAAATATAAATTGAAGTACTTTGTAAAAGAGTCTTGCCTTAGTATAAATTGCTGTACAATTATGGGGCAGTGGTCTAATGTGAAGGAAGGCCAAAGTGGTAACGCTTACCACTTCCTCCTTCTTTAGCCCTAATTGCAATTCCCCTTTCCTGTTTGTGTGCAAAGAGAATTCCAATCAGTTCCTCACAGGTCACTGATATCCACCCTATGAGCTACTTCCGATTAGAGGTCATGTAACCCTCTGCCTCTCTGTACCTGGTTGAAGGAGATAGCCTAATCACCATGAGTTGCATGCTCTTTTCCACTTGCTCAATAAACCTGTTCTTTTTAACTTATTGCTTCTCTATTGTGCTTCTCTCTGTTAGATAACTCTAACACTTTGGGACTTTTTTAATTCTATAAAAAATTAAATTGGGTCCATTAACTGTGTCTTCATAAATTGTTATGGTATTACAAAACATTGCTTTCTTTTGAGTCTTCAATAAAAGTAAAATTAGCAAGAGTTAAAATACTGGTTAACGTGTAATTCTTTATGCAAAGAATACAAAATAATAAAGCTGTATAAAGAAAGACTGGGCATGCTGGCACTGCCTAAAGTTCCAGCATTCCTGAGGCTGAGGCAGGAGGATTGCTGTGAATTTGAGGCAAGCTTGGGCTATGTAGTGAGTTCAAGGCTCTCTGAACTACATAACAACAGCCTATCTCAAAAGATCAAAAGGGTAAGCTGGGCATGGTGGTGCACTCCGTGGACCCAGGACTGGGAAGATTGAGGCAGGAGAATCATTTGCAAGTTTGAGACCAGTCTGGGCTACAAAGTGAGCCCAAGGCCAGCCTATAAACTGTATAGTGAGACCCTGTCGTAAAAAGACAAAAATAAATGTATATATATATATATATATATATATATATAGAATATATATATACAAATATTATTTTATTACAAATTTTTTTCTGAACTTGAAAATTTTTTAAGGATTGTTTAAATTGTAAATTTAAATATGGCAAATTAAAATTAATTTAATTTAACTTAATTTTAATTTAAGTAAGGCAAATTTAAACCAGGTAAAAATAACCAGTAAAGAAAAAAAAAACAGTAAGAGAAATATAAAAATAGTTATATGCATGGGGATATATTTTTAAACAGGAAAAAATGCTTTATTTTATAATTACTAAATGTAATATGCAACATTTATGTCTATCTTGGAGAAATAATGCACATACAATACAGATCACATATCGGATCTGCCTTGGAACGGCCCACATGCTTCTCCCCTTCCTTTCCTAGGTGCCTTTCTCATTCATTACCATAGTTTACCTCCCTTTCCCTACCATCACCCCTTTATTTTGCTCTTTGAATTTTTAATATTTTGAGTTTCCCATATTAGAGAAACTGTGATAATTACATTCCTATGTCTGATTAATTTTATTTAGTATCAATTCAAGAAAAATATTACTTCCAAGTTTGTGTCCCCTGACACCAAAGAATGAATTCCAAAGGACAAAGGAGGTTAAGAATAGTAAAATTGAGGCCAGGCGTTTAGCTCAGTGGTGTTAGTGCCTGCCTGGCAAGTGCAAGGTCATGAGTTAGATCCCCGGTACTGAAGGGGGAAAAAAAAAAAAAAGAGTAGTAAAGGTTTGCTTGAGTACAGGAATAGCTTGTGAGTGAGTATAGGAATAGTTCCTGAGAGACAGGAGGGGTCCCTGGTGGGTTACCACTGAGGTCATTTCTCTGAGAATGATTCATAGGGCAAAATCATGAGATGGGTCAAATCATTATTAGCTAATAAGATTAGAAGTATAGCCACTTAGCTATATTGATCCAATAGGGAAGTGGGGCACATAGAAAGGGCACATGGCTGACATCATTAACTTTGGCTTTTCTATGACTTCTAAAACAGGAACATTTGGGGGAAGTGATGGGTCCAAATAGTCTGGTTACTCACCAGGTGTCTGATGTACATCTAGACTTAATGGGCTGAGTGGCATTAATTACAGAATAATTCCAAATTTCCATTCATCCTTTAGGTAAGCCTACAAATCTGGCCATTGTGACTTTAATTATGAAACCTTGCATTCTTCAGCTATGTCGCTCACCACAATTTTGAGGTCTCTACCTTTCATTTACTTCTTTGACACCTCAGTCCCTCGCTGACTATATATTAATTTTTATCTAACTTAGCTGTCTTTAATAGTATCATTATCTCAAGATCCATCTATTTTCTTAAAATGACTCAAATTTGTTGTTCTTTTCAGATGAATGGTACTCCATTATGTATCAATCCAATGATTTCTTTATATAAGCATTTGTTAATTGATATATAGGCCACTTCCATGGTTTACATACAGTGAGCAGTGCTGCTATAAACATGGGTATGTATGTATCACTATAATATGATAATGATGTTAGTTCTTCTGGGAAGATACCAAGAAGCAGTTTAACTTGGCAAAATGGAATTTCTACTTTTAGTTTTTTGAGGAATCTCCAGAACCATCATTTTTCCATGTTTGTACTAGTTGCAATTCCCACCAAAATGGAGAAGTAGCACAGGTAGCACAATTGAGACTGGGAGACCACTTTTCTCCACCAACCTGAATATGTGTAGCACTCTAGAGCCAGTCCTCTTCCACTGTCCCTAAGAGAAGCAAAAATAAAAATAAAAAAGACCCCTCCCCACCCAATCTGTAAAGTTTCAGGCCAGACAGAGCAAATATGCACTAGATTCCATGACCTGACCTTCAGTAACATTTTTTCCACTCAGACTTCTTTTTAAATTTTATACATAGAGAAGATATCTCACGTATGTGATTAAAACAGATTGCATTCTGGTGCTGTTTGGATGATTTAGCACCTGTCAATCATTTCTGTCGATCATATCCAGAGACATCCAATGAAAAGCATCCAGAGTGGGCTGTTTAAAGTCCAAAAGTCTGGTTTATAGTCATTCTTCTTATTCCCCTGCTGCCTGGCACCACTTTTCCATTTATACCAGGTTTTTGTTTCTGTTGGTGAAGACTTGCCCTAACCCTAACATCTTTTATCTTCAACAAATTTAGCTGCTTTTTTCTTTTACCATTGAAGGTACAGTTACAATTCTTTGCTCATCATACATAAGAATCTGGAATCTATCTGTTGAAGGATTGTTTTCCCCCCACAACTTCAATAGCATTTTCCTGTTAAATACCTGATAACAGACATTCTTAGTAGAGTAAGATGGAATCTCAGTGTTGTTTTGCTTTATGTTTCTTTAATGACTACCTCCAAGCACCTTGTCCCTTCACATTTCCTTTGTCCTAGCCTTATCACCATGCTCTAGACTGTTTCCTACAAGAAAAAGCCTCCCACTACATCTTGCCAGATACAAGAGAGAATAAGAAAGACCCACAAAGGAGAAAAATCCTTGCTCCAAACCCTGCACCAGTGACAAACAAGCAAACTTATAGTTTTAATTGATCTTTTGCTTTTAGAATTCTAAGAATTCTAAATCTGGAAGATCTAACATTAAGGAGTATCTGAGCCTGCAGAAATTAGATATAAGATTATGTGAATCTACACACATGTGAAAGGGAAAAGATTCATATCTTAAACTATTGAAGAGTTTTTGATTCACACAATAAACTGGGGGTACAGGAGTTTATGTTCTTCCATGAAGTTAGAATTTACCACCAAGAATATGGTAAATGAAGAATCAATGTAAAGTATAAAATAATCAAGTATTAGTTGGTTTATTTTAAAAGAGAGATATGTAGGTTAAACTAACATCAAAGACTTGACTACTTCATCATTTGCAGTCGTCTAGATATAGTTCAATCTTGTATACTTCATGTGGGAGACAGCATACAAAAGTTAATTATTATACTAATGACCTTAAATAATTGTAAAATTATGAATTCATATGTATTTTATCAAATAAATTTTTTGTATCAAATAGCTGTAGAGTTCATTTGAATTTCACTTATTGGAAAACAGGGGGCTGGGGATTTACCTCAGCGGCATAAGCACCTGCCTTGCAAGCAGGCGGTCGTGAGTTCGATCCCTGGTACCGATAAAAATGAAAAAGACAAAAAAAAAGGAAAACAGGTAGTCCATGAGATAGATTGTTTACATAGGGTAACTTTTGCATTGCCTTTTCCTTTAAGATGTATTTTGCCTGCTCATCTATCAGATCCAACCTTAGGCAGAAGAGCAAAACTCAGGCCCTGTTTATTTTTCTTGAAGTCTCTAGACCAACCCCAACACACACACACACACACACACACACAGTTTCTTCAATAATGCACAACTTGTTCCTCGTGGCACAATTTGGTTCACTATCAGAATTCCCTGAGTCACCCTCCGCCGGGTGCCCTGAGGCACCATGTGCCTGAGTCACCGAACGGTTGCAGCTACTAGGTGCTCAAGGCACAAAACCTGAACTTCGGTTTCCAGAGAGTTGAGGTAGAGTACTGATCGGATTGGGTAAGCAGGAAAGACAGACAGGAGCTCCATCAAATCACAGATCTAGGATTCTTACCTAGGTCTCCCTACAACCCTGGCAGCAGTTGTTCTTGGAGGGACTGCCCCGGGGTTGCCATGGAGACCGGACGCTGTAACTTGCAGAGCGCAGCGAAGCAGAAATCCCTTAGGAGACCTTCCGAAGTGGCGCTTTGCTTTGCCTTCTTCCTCATCTTCACGCCCCTGTCCTCAGAGCTTTTTTCTCAGTTCTCTCCATGGAAGACTCAACCTCCCTGAGCCAAAAAAAAGAAAACCAACCACTGAGAGAAGCAATGCTGCCAAGGGAAGAAGGGACTGCAGCTTCTCCCCAGGACCCCCGTCCCCAGTCTTCTGGGCCCTGGGAAGCCGAGCCAGCGCCCGACGCCAGACCCCGGCCCAGGAGCAGCTGCGCTCAGAGCCCCGGGTCCCGAGGCCCCGCTGCCGGGCAAGGGGCGTCGTCTTCCCCGCCACCGCCTCTGCAACTCTCGTCCACTCTGGCCAGGCAGAACCTCGGGGCTCCACGGCAGCCAGACGGGGCCTCCAGTGGGGTTTCTGATGCTGGGACTGCTCTCTCCGATCCCCTGGGGCCATCGACGGATGAGAGGGAATGGGCTCACCGAAGCCATTCGGTGGAGGACACCGGTCCGCTGGCTTGGCAGCCCAACTCAAGCAGCAAGCTCTGTCAACCAAAAGAGCTGCCATCTGGCAGTGTCCAGAAGGAGGGCTGGAGCTGCCACAAAGACCCGGGTCAGCCTGAGTCCAGGGCCTGCGAGGCCTCCACCAGCATGCTTGACATCGCGGTGCAGAACGCTAAGGGTTACCTGTTTCAAGCCAGCAGCAAGACTGGCTTGAACCTGTAAGTCTAGGATAAGAAGGACAGTTTGGCAAGGCAAAAGGTTTTGGGGTATCTGTGGCAGTGTATTTGTCTAGATAAATGGAAGTATATTTCAAAAGATATAATAGGCGAGGAAAGTCACATAAAAACATCACCACAGCACTAAAAGCAGGCTGGCCTTGAACTCACTTTGTAACCCAGGCTGGCCTCCAAACCGCAGTGATTTTCCTGTCCCAGGCCTCCCGAGTGCTGGAATTGTAGGCATGCACCACCACACCCAGCTAACAGTGGGCTTCCTTAAGAATTTTGACTCTGCAGCACAGAAATAAAACCTAGCATTTATGAGCATTGTGCTTCAAAGAGAAAATAAAGGCAAAGATGTTTAAGCAGCTTCCCAGGGTACTTGTAAAAATAATTGTCCAAAATAGTAGAGAAGGCCTGTGTCTGCAATATAAGCATTAGGCGGTGTGGTTGGGAGCTACCTTCCAGGCCAGTGGTGAGGTGACCAGTCATCTCAGCTTCCTGAGACCATCCTGACTTGAGCACTGCAACTGCATCCTTAAAAAGCTCTGAGCTTGGGATAAATTGGGAGTTTGTCATCATATAGACCACTCAGAACACTCCCACTTTACCCAGGTTTCTTTTCACATATGGTGACCAGCAGTTCAGGTATGTTCAGGGCATCCCACTGTAGTTTCAATTTCACAATTGCTACCAGAACAGATTTTTATAAATTCTTGCCTTTGTGGTTACATATGCAGAGTCTGTCCAATGTTTATGCCTAGAAGGGACTTCAGAAAACATCAGATCAACTCATTTGTTTGTAAGGAAAGGCACTGACTGGACTACTTAATTTGCTGGATCCACAGGCTCAGGGAACCAGACTCACACTTCCTTCCCCTTGGCTCTGCTCTAGCTGTACTGCATGGTCAGTCACAGTGGAGGCTTCTTTCCTGGTCCTGTGCCTGGTTAGCTACTAAACCCTTCAGAACGCAGCTTCCATACAACCCGATTATAATAGCCTTATCTTTTCCTTCAGAGTTCTCAATTCTTTTTATAACTGTATATATATTTATAGACTTGAATTTTAGTGCCTGACTCAATGGGCTATACTGCAGGCCCCAGATTATGGTGACCACAGAAGTTTTGTAGACTTCTATATGTTTAGCTCCTAGGATGATGTTATAAATTGATTATTGAATATGAAAGCATGGCAGCAGACTAAAGTTCATCTTCTGAATCTATTTCAGTTCTCATCATAACTTGCCAATGTGCCTCCTGATTTGTCAGAAAATATTGAGTCTCTACTGAACATATAATGCAGTATATGTGGGTTAAAGAAACAGAATATACAATCTAAAATCTAATTAAAAGATAGTATTTGATAGACATGTTCTTTCACTAAAACTGAGATTGAGCAATTCAAAAATTTTTTTTCAAAATATTATTTATAAATTGTCATTTTAAACTGCAATTTTCTTAAGCTGTAAGAGTGATTTGCTACTCAGTAGTGGATTTTACTTGGATTTCTATGGTGTACTTCCATATAATGTCCTGTAACAAACATAAATATAAATAACAAGCATGGCTTTTCAAAAATTTTTAAAACAGCAAAACAGCTCATTATAAATATTTGTAAGTTTACCAAAAATGTAAAATTGAATACAAAAACTAAAGTGAGAAAATATCCCAAGTCATTTTACAAATGATATTAGCTAAATACTAAATTTTAATTTTGTTTTCAAATGCTGTTTATGAGGTCATTATTCAATACCTTGGTTTTAAGTATTTTGGAGCCTGCAGTCCTAAGCAGCTTAGTAAGGACAGCTTTAATCCCTATCACTTATGTGTAGATCTATTTTGACAGACATAAAATCTATTTTTATGGCAATTAAAATAATCTTTGATAAAATACAAGATCTGATCATGGATTTCAATTACTAAACAGAAAGCTTACAAAAAAGAATCACTTCCTTTTCTTTACCATTCTACTAAAACAAATTATTAATTCTATTTGAAAAATCATAACCATGAATTAATAACTAATAAATATGTATCATGATTTTACATAATAAGTTTTTCAAGTGTGGACTTAAAAAACATTTATGTCCTATATACTGGAGAACTATGAATAAAACACATGTGGACATTATATTGAAACCTGAAAAGTAAAATGAAAATTTGGACTTAACTCTGATTTACACACCATGTGTTAGAGTAAATCATGCATTCTTACAAATACTGCATTTGCTCAGTAAATTATGTGGAAATCCCCTAGTGCCAACACTGAGTAAATATTAAGAAAGTTTAATGAAGCTTTTAAAAAATTTTTGTTAATTAATTAATTCATTCATTCATTTTTGTCTTTTTGAGACAGGGTCTCACTATGCAGTTCAGGCTGGCCTTGAGCTCACTTTGTAGCCCAGGCTAGTCTCGAACTCACAACGATCCTCCTGTCTCAGCCTTGCCAGTGCTGGGATTACAGGCATGAGCCACCACGCCTGGCTCAATTTTGTTAATTTATAATAGCAATATTTGCAGAGATTTACTCTTCAAATATAATATTTTAACTGCCCTTCACATAGGATGCTTATATATAATCTACATATTTTCTGTGATATTTTTAAGATCCATTAAAAATACACAGACATTAAAAAAAAACCAAGAATTACACCTCAGGTCAATTGATCGAAAACAAGCAGCTCTCGAGCATATATTTACTTCATTATAGTAAGGGAGAAAACAAGAAAAAAACGGAACTCTGGTCTTGGCCATGGAAGGACCTATGGCACTTCCTATACAGGAAATAAGGAAATAGATAATGTACGCAATTTCACAGCAGCATTTCTGTGTCATCAGTAAGAATCACTCTAAACTTAAGGAAAAATTGTTTTGGGAATGACTTGAGTGTGAGTCTTTGAGGATAAAGGGAATTTAAAATTATTTCTTGAGAGAAGTGTTGTATTTGGAACAAATAAAGTTGCTCAGAGGGGATTTTGTAACCAAAGTGATTTCTGTTTGCTTTACCCTCACAGGGACAGGTTCTAACTGAACTAGAAACAAGTTGGAGAGAACTAATGCATACCCTCCCAAGAGTCATTTTATGCAAGTCCCAACTGAACAGAAGTTTCTTTACATCATGAGAAATTTGACAGGAGTTTGCCTTCTTAAAAATAAATCTGTGTTGTAAATTTGGTACAGAAAAAAGACACACTAGTAGTTATATATAAGTTATAATGAATTAATGAAAGGATAAAGACAGTTTCAGTAGTTCAGCTGTTGTTAAATAAAAGCTATAACAATGTTTTGATTGAATAGAACCAAAAATTAGTGACATCACAGCTTAATGTAATATTTGATGACACTTGTCTTAGTTGTGTGTAGTAGAGGTTGCAATATGAAATGTATTTTTGGCAGGTCTAAATAAATAACTGGCTTAAAAGAAGATAGGAAGGAAATAGGTCTTAAAGATACAATCAGCAGAATTAGAACTCAAGTTGGGTTTGATGGGGCAGGAGAAGAGAAAGTAACAATGAAAAATGTTCTTCAGGACATTTTCATTTTAGAAATGAAATGTGAAGATGTATCTGATATGGATGACATAGCTTGCTTTAATATCTTTTTCTTTAATAAATTAAACATCCTAGCCTATTAGAAGCATTTCCTAATGAATATTCTAGGATAGCTTTTCTCTGACATCACTGAAAATCCAGGATGATAAAAGGTTGATGAGTTCCCTAAAACAAGCGACCTGAAGGAAATGATTCTGTAAGTGCTCTTAATGTACATGTGATTTGGAATTTTTTGTTTGAGTAGATATGATCATCTTTCTAATATGCTGACCAAGATATTAGATGAGCGTCCTGAAAATGCTGTTGACATCATTGAAAATATCAGCCAAAATGTGAAAATGGCACATTTTAGTAAAAAATTAGATACATTCCAAAATGAGAATGAGATGCTCCCAACATATGACATAGCGGAGGGGCAAAAGGCTCTTTTTCTTCAGGGACATTTGGAAGGAGTTGACCAAGAACTGGAAGATGAAATAGTAAGTCATTACTATTAATACTAATGGTTAAATTTGGGAGGAGTTCCGTAGAGCTGAGTGGGGGGTGTGACTTTAACTTCACAGCAAGTGGTTTTCATGGCTCTCTACATAGTATTTGCATCTTAATTTCCTTAAATCCTTTCAAGCCTCCAAGTAACTCACTTTGCACCTGTCATTTCTTTGTTAATTTTTTTTCCAAATTGTGTGGTTTATTATTGCTGTTATTTTGATTCAAATTCTGTCTATGTAGCCCAGGCTGGCCTGGAACTCATAATCCTGCTTCAACCTTCCAGGTGCTGGGATTATAAGCATGTACCACTAGGCCCAGCTCACATGAAACTGTAATATTTTATAGACCTTAGCTTTTGTTAGAGATGTTTGTGGTAAGTTTCCTGGTAACAGAAAAGGTGGTTTCTTTGTATTTCATATTCTCCAAGTTGTCTGGTACAGATCTGGGCTCATAGCTCTTTCTTATTAAGTATTTGTTGAATAGTAAATGCCAGATAGGGCTAGGGATTTAGCTCAGTGGCTTAAGCGCCTGCCAGGCAAGGGCAAAGTTGTGAGTTAGATCCCCAGTACAAAAAAAAAAAAAAAAAAAAGTGTATAATAGTAAATGCCAGATATAGTTAAATTTCTATCACTTACTGACACTGAAGCTACTATGAGGTCATAGGGTAATACATTTTCCATAAGTCTGTGGTAAGGCTGATGTAAGCAAACCTACTGCACTGTAGTTACACTGAAGCTGTGTGTTATGGCTTGTGTCTAGATGTCCCCTAAAACCTCATACAGTCATGGTGTGAGGAGGTTTTCAGAGATGGTTCAGGGCGCTTCAGAGGTGGATCTAGAGTGCATGGTGCTGAGACCTAGGGTGTTTAATTACAAAGTCACTCCATTGATTGGTTTGGCATAGTTCTGCCTAGGATAAAGAATATGAGTGCTATACTTACACTAGGGCAGGCAGCCTGCATAAAATATAAGGGACAGAAAGAAGGTTAATGTGTTCTTGCCTGCATGCTTGCCTGCTTGCTCATCTGTGACTATTTCTCATCTGTGATGCCCCTCTGCTATGCCACCCTGCTTTGGAACCAGCCAACTATTATATATATATATATATATATATATATATATATATATATATTTTGCTGTTGTTGTTGTTTTGTTTTGTTTTATTAGACAGGGTTTTGCTATGTAGTCTAGGCTGGCCTTGAACTGTGTAGCCCAGTCTGGCTTTAACTAGCAGCAATCCTCCTGTGTCAGCCTTCCAAGTGCTGGGATTACAAGAATGCTGTGTTTTTGAAACAAGATCTGGCTACGCAATTTGTGCTGGCCTTTTACCTCACTATATAGCTCAGGCTGGCCTCGCAAGCTTGAGGTCAGTTTGGGGAACTTAGCAAGACTCAGTCTCAAAATAACATTTTATGGCAGGCTAGGGAAATAGCTCAATGGTGAAGCACTTGCCTGACATGCAGGAGATCCTGGTTTCAGTCCCCAACACACACACACACACACACACACACACACACACACACACACACAACTTCAAATATTTTAAATGAGTGTCTTTATTGCTTCCTAAATCCTATGTACACATCTTCTGTTACTAGTATACTTAAATATTTACATAAGTTGCAAATCTAATGATTTTTCAAAAACAGACTCACTTGTCAGGGAAAAATTGGGATCTAGATAGTAGGTGCAAGCCTAGGGCTCATAAGGTCCAGAGTACTCAGAAGTAAACGGTGATGGGGTTCAGGAGTCAATAACAGATTGCTTCAACAAGGGGGCATTTGGGTATGTTGCCCCACACAACGGTGAGGCCTCAGGAGCACAGCACATGGGGCAGGCATGTAGCAGAGGTTCCCTAGAGGCATTAATCAAAGCAAAGTCAAAATGTGCAGTGTCCTAGGGCAGGGATCCCCACCTTAAAACTACCATGTTGGATGAAGATAGAAATACGTGTTTTTACCTGGAACCAAAGCCTTGGTTTTAGTTATTTCCTGCTTGCTGGGACAAAACACTACCCGACACCCACAAGTTAAAGGAGGAAAGGTTTATTTTACTTCACAGTTTGTAGAGGCGTCAGTCCATAGTCAGCTGGATCCAAGGCAGCATGGTATGGCAAAGGGATGGCAGAGAAGAAACAGTTCACAGCAGGGAAAGCAGAAAGCAGTAAATATCTCTTTCTCTTTTACCTCATTCAGGCTACAAGCCTATTGGATGGTGCTAACCCCACTTATGGTGGGCCTTCCCTTTATCCACACCCAGAACTATGCTAAATCAATCAGTGGAGTAATTTAGTTACCACAACCCTTAATCCATATCATACATCCATGATCCAGTTACCTCCAAAAGTCCCTCCTATGAAAGCATGAGGCTTTGGAAGGTCATCTAGACACCAGCCATGATAGCCTCTTACAGAATCCTTAAGTCATCCTGATGAAAAGGGTAGAATTGGTTTTAGAGGCTGGGAAAGCTGAGTCATCAGGTGAAGATGAAAAGCTCAGAAAAGGAACAGAAAGAGTTGGTTTCCAAAGGAATGAGACATCAGTTATGTGACAATGCTGTTCCTGAATTCTGTGTACCACTCATGTTTTTAGTTGTGCTTAGACTTCAGCATCCATTCATTAGCAAGTTTTGACTGTCCATTGCATTCCAGGTAGAGAAATGTACTTGTGAAAAAATGGAAAAGATTTTCCTGACTTTAAGTTGCTTACAATCTAGTAAAACAGACAACAAAAAGTATAAAGCTATTTATTAGTAAAGAAATGACCTCAACTGGGCATGATAGCACATGCCTGTAATCCCAGCCCTTGGAAGGCTGAGGCAGGAGGATCATTGTGAGTTCAAGATCAGTCTGGGGCTACAAAATGAGCTCAAGGCCAGTCTGAACTACATGGTGAGACCCTGTCTCAAAAAGCCCAAAGGTGGTGTTGGGGAAGAGATGGCCTCATATGATGGGGAAAACCTGGGCTTTGGACTCAGAGCTGAGTTACAATCCCAAGTTAGTCATTCACTAGTATGACTTGGAACAAATGACTTAACTTTCCATACTTCAGGGATAGTCACATGGCAACACCCTGAGGAATATGAGTAGAATATGTAAAAGTTCTGAGTATATACTAAGTATCTATCTATTCTGTTGTTTTGACAGCTGGCTAGACCACCAGACAGAATGCAGCTCTTAGCAACTTGGCAGGGCTTTGTAGTAGAAATGATATTTCATCTGGATTACAGAGGATATATAGGCTTCACCAGGTGAAGACTGTAATAAGTAAAATTGGGTTTTTTGTTGTTGTTGTTCTTTTTCGTTTTTATCGGTACCAGGGATCGAACTCACGACTGCCTGCTTGTAAGGAAGGCGCTTATGCCGCTGAGCTAAATCCCCAGCCCCCTGTAATAAGTAAAATTGTAGGGAAAATAAAAAATAAAAGATCAGGAAAGATCCAAATTCCAATCAGCTACATATACTTGAGAGAGTATGGAGAACTCTTGTAAAACTACAACATTGTGCTGATGAGATGGAAAGTTTTGAGAACAATAATATCTAGGGCTCAACTAGGAAATGAAGGTGAGAAAAACTTCTAGAGGGCTGAGAAGGTCCAAGAATGAGTTTTATAATTCAAATCAAGAGAGGGACATAATGGAACCACATGTAATCCTAGCATTTGGGAGGCTGAGGCAGGAGGATCACCATGAGGCCAGACTAGGCTATGTAGTGAATTTAAGGTTGACCTGAAGTATACAGAAGACCTTGTCTTTAAAAAAAATATATATCAAAGAGGGAGGATTTTAAAAGGCCTTATCTATATCATGATACTATAATAATATAAATGAGAGCAGGTCATTTGTAAGAATAGCAAATGCTCTCAATTTCTCTTATCATGATCTCAGTTAAGGTCCTTTCTTGTTACTATATTTCGTCAGAAATACTTCTTTTCAGCACATTTGAGATTGTTCATTTTCCTGTTTTTTTCTTTTATAGAACTATTTATATTTTTATTCACTATCTTAAATCCCAAAGCATTTATTGTAAGTAGGGACATGCATCTGATTACAATGTCTTTATTACATTCTTTTATTTATACTGTTACCATATATATATTTTTATTTACCTTAAACATATATAACCATGTATTTCAGAAGTGTTGTTTGTTTTTGGGATCATAACTATGACCCTGTATTTGCCAGGCAGGTGCTTGTGCCACTGAGCTAAATTCCCAGCCGTTCAAAAGTATCTTTAAATGGCTTATCATATAATATGTTTATATTATATACATCTATTTTCTCTAAATGCTTGCTTATGTAAGGTATACTACATGTTATTTTAGCAAAGTAAAATTGCTTAATAATTTTTATAAAAGACCATATTTTCATTATCAATAGCAGTTATTAAATTATCCCTAAAGTCTACATATAAAACAGGGTAACTATCATATTAAATACAAAATGTAATGAGTGTAAGAAGTTATATTACAAATTTCAGTAATTTGTAATATGAGTCATAGTTTGTAATGTGAGTCATAGTTTAAATCCTCAAAGAAGTGTTGGAAGGGTGGGGAAAGTAGAGCTAATATCAAGGAACCAGGCACTCCTCCTTATGGATAAAATTTTAACCATATGATTTGCTTTTCCAGGTAGAAAACTCTCTTCCAAATATAATGGAGTCTGCTTTTTATTTTGAACAAGCTGGAGTTGGTTTGAGCACTGATGAGACTTACCGCATATTTCTTGCCCTCAAACAACTTACTGACACTCACCCAATTCAAAGATGCCGTTTCTGGGGCAAGATCTTGGGCCTGGAAATGAATTATATTGTAGCTGAAGTAGAAATTCGTGAGGGGGAAGATGAAGAGGAGGTCGAAGAAGAGGATGTAGTTGAAGCTGAAGAGAGGGACAATGGTCAAAGTGACGCTGATAGAGAGGAGGAAGATGAGTTACCCAAGTCCCTCTACAGACCCTCACAGGTGATACCAAAAGAAGAAAATAGGACAGGTGCCAACAAATATGTCTATTTTGTTTGCAATGAACCCGGAAGACCGTGGGTGAAGTTACCATCGGTCAAGCCTGCACAAATTGTTACTGCAAGAAAAATCAAGAAATTTTTTACTGGGCAATTAGATGCTCCCATCATAAGCTACCCACCTTTTCCAGGAAATGAGAGCAATTACTTACGAGCACAAATTGCCCGAATTTCAGCAGGGACACATGTCAGTCCTCTAGGATTCTACCAGTTTGGTGAAGAGGAAGGAGAGGAAGAGGAAGAGGTAGAAAGTGGACGAAGTAGCTTTGAAGAAAATCCTGATTTTGAAGGCATCCAAGTGCTTGATCTAGTGGAATCTCTATCCAATTGGGTTCATCATGTACAGCACATTCTTCCTCAGGTAAGGGAATACTGTCAGGTACTGTCCAGACTTAAGAGTTATGTGTTCTGAAATTACTCTGCTTTTATGTATTAAAAGGGGATGGATGCATTATTTTAGAAAGAATTCTTTTATTCTGTCTCCATAATACATGGACTTATGTCCAGAAAAACAAAGGATTAAAAAAAAACAAAAATAAAGAGTACTATGACTAATTGCATCAGGTGTTTATAGGGCAATATACACATTAAATTTTATGTATGATTGTACTAAATTATGACTATACATTATAGACGTATATATTTTAAGTTGATTACATACACATATTCCTAAATTAGTCCCCAGAACAACCTTATGAAAACTTTATATTATTACCTTTATCTTATAGATGAGGAAACTGAGGCAGAGAATTTAGGGACATCGTTAGGAACGTCACAAAGAGAATATAGCTAATAAGTAACATAGTCAATTGTGAGGCTGTGTAGAATAGAGCCAGAATCCATTCTTCTAAACCCTTTGTTATACTCCTTTACTTACAAGCAGAACAATTTTCACTATTTGTCTATCTATATCTATCTATCTATCTATCTATTCTTTTTTGGGGGGTGGTCTTTTTGAGACAGGGTTTTACTATGTAGTTCAGGTTGGTTTTGAGTTCACTTTGTAATCCAGGCTGGTCTCAAACTCTCAAGGATCCTCTTGCCTCAGCCTCGTGAGTACTCAGATTACAGGTGTGCACCACCACACCCAGTCTTTCATTATATTTTGATCTAGATAGGAATTACTCTGAGACACAGCTAGAGTTTAGAAATTTAACCCCTAACCTTACTATCACATTTAAAAATTGTTAACAATTTAACTTTACTAATTTATATAATTTATTACAACCAGTATAATGTATTACCTTTTTTTACTAAGGTTCTGTTAATTTTAAGATATAAATGAAACCTCAAAGACAGTAAATTTTTGAAAAAATAGTTCAATTTTTTTTTGGTTGGAGCTAAGATAAAAACAGCACTTGGTAAATGCATGTAGAATGAATGAATGGAAAATTATTTTCCCATACATTGAAACCACATCCTGAAAATTCCTGCAATCCAAATGAATATTGAAATTTTAATGTCTACGTTAGGCTATTACATATCAAAACATTCATTTCCAGGGTCGCTGTACTTGGTTCAACCCCACACCAAAACATGAAGAGGAAGAAGAGGAAGATGAAGAAAAAGAAGAACCTGACTATATAGAACAGGAAGTGGGGCCTCCTCTTTTGACCCCAATCTCTGAAGATTCAGGTAACTTTATGTAATTATTAACAGAGTAACACAAAAACATGACGTGCACTGTGTGGTAAGTACATAAAGAACTGAAAAGCTCTAAAACGTGGGTAAGGGTGGAGGTCCTCTCCCTTCATGCTCTGGAGTGCTGGGCTCAACAAGGCAGCCTGCTAGAGGCTTACACATGCGTACAACTTCTCTTAAACAGTTTATGAGAACTGATTATATTATGCATAATGAAGTGAACAGCTACTTTGAAGAGAGAAATTATGGTATCCATTGCTGATTCCATATCATCATGCTGTAAAATCCAGTAATGCTTTTATTCTTTGTTTAGAGTGGTTTTAGTCTGTTTTGTACTGTTTAATTTCAACATACATGAAGGTATGGACAGCTATTTTAAAGAGAACAAGCTATTATGGTGGCCATTGTTAATTTTCCAATTGTCTGGTATGAATGCCTTCATTACTCTGTTCTGATCAGTTTTATACTATTTCGTGTTGTATGAATTCACTGTGTGTGAAGATATGGACAACTATTTAGAAGAAAACAAGAAACATGATAGCCACTGTAGATCTCCTGTTGTCTTGCTTTGAAATGTGTCACATTGTTTCCTTCTGATCTGCTTTGTTCTGTTTAGTTTTACCCTCTTTAAAATTAAAAAAAACAAAAAACAAAAAAACAAGGCAGCCTACTATTGCCACGTGTTCTGGCAGAGGACAAAGTAGTGATACACTGAGGAAACATGAGCTGTCACCCTTTGGGGAAATGGTGATCCTTGTGCATCATTCTGTTTTGCATTGTGCAGACTATAAATGCACAGCATAGCCATAGTAAAATACCTATGTGATAATTTACTTTCTTCACTGGTAGGAATCTGACTTTTCTCTGGTAGCACATAGTACAAAATATTCTTTCTCCCACATAAGCCTCCTCTCTTAATAAAACCTTCGTAGCAAAAATGTGTGTGTATGTGAATGTATATATAGATGTGTATATTTAAAATTTTTTCTTTTCAAAAGTATTCAAAAATACTGATTTTATGTTAACTTTTTATATCCAATGCTTTTAATATTTAGAAAGATAATTTCAGCTACATAGTAGATTCTTGTCTGTTTAAGGGTTAAGATTTTCTCATCATGTTCCAGAGATTCAGAATATACCTGCTTGGACAACACGACTGTCCTCAAGTCTCATTCCACAATATGCTATTGCAGTCCTTCGATCCAACCTTTGGCCTGGAGCATATGCCTTTTCCACTGGCAAGTAAGTATATAAACTCTGGTAATTATATTATTACTGGAGTGTTAAGCTACTATTGTTTTAACTCATCTTTGTCATACTACATGTGTGTGGTAAAGACTGATTATATAGTAAGTCATTAAACATTAGAGTAATTCAGGCTTTGCCTTTAACTGAAAGAAAAGTTTTTCATCCATGATTATTGTGTAATTTAGTTATTCACTTAAACTGATGGAGATAATTCTAGGTAGTATTTAAGGCTCAGATCACTTTTGTAGAATATTTTGATAAAAATAATTAAAAATGCTGTTTTGCTTTTGAGGGATTTAGAATCAAACAACTCAGAATACTATTATCATTCAACTAGAACAAATAGTTCCTTTTGTCTTGTGCTTCCACTTCTCACTGCAGTCTCTGAAGAGAGCTGAGCTGCCAGGTGTCTGTGAGTAGTAGCCTTTAGAGCCCTATTTCAAAACTCACACCTGAAGCTTCAGTCCCTCATGGTAATAGCACAAGCAGGACAACTCTTCGACTTCTCCATGCCTCACTCCCTACCATGAATGATCAGATGGGTCTGCAAAAACACGGTTGTCATAGATTTGGGAGTTTTGGGGTCACTTCATTAAAAATGGAATCTCTAAACAAAAGGCACCTGTGATTTACGGATGGCAATGAGAATGGGCGTTTAGGGCTTAGCTAAGAATGCAGAGAACAAGACCAAGCAGAGGGACAGAGTCCTTGGACAGCTCTCCTCAACAATATATGCTGGCACCTTGTTTGGCATGAGAAATTTTCCCAGCTGAGAAGTGGGGAGTTTTCCAGGGTGAGGCTTCCCTAGTAAAGCCTTTGTTAATTGCTCAATGTTGGGCCTGAAAAAGGAACACATTTTTTAACATCAAGCTTGACCTCTCACTCGGCAAAGTCACTGGCTTTTAACAAACACTCATAACAGGGTCTCACTGCCCAGTGACTTGAACCACAAGTAGCTGTCCCACAGGAAGGTGTTTAATTAGCAAAAAGACAGGTGATTAGATCTGCTTGTACCATCAGTGGCATAAAATGCCTGATAGGACAATCATAAATATACCACCAATAGTTCCATTCTGAGGGAACCTGTTTAAATCCTCCTATGGAACTTTTTGTGGAATTAGCAACATTCTCCGAAACTCTGAATTGCATAAGTCCTTTTTTTGTGTTTCTAGGTAGAGGGTATATTTTGACAGTCTGGTTGCATTTTTTTTTTTTTGTCATTTTGAGATAGGGTTTCACTATGTAGCTCAGGTTGGCCTTGAACTCACTTTGTAGCCCAGGCTGTCCTTGAATATCTGGTAATCCTCCTGCCTCAGCCTCCCAAGTGCTAGGATTATAGGCGTGCGCCACCATACCCAGCTCTCATGGTTTTCTTAGCTTGAGCAGTCTGAATCAAAATCATTCCTTGATCCAGCCATGGAGGGACTCAGGCCGCTTATTCACCGGCCCTCTTGGTAAGCACCTGCAGCGTGGGCCTGGAGAAGAACCATTACCTGTGAGCCTACTGCCACGCGGGCTGAAAATCAAGCACCCTTCCCCTGCCTGGCCCCTCCCCGCATTACTACTGGGGATAGATGTCTCAGCATCTCTTAGGAGGAAGACCATATGCAGTATGGCAAATATCTTCTGTTCGAAAGCATAGGTTGTTTTCAGTGTTTTGTTACATTTCTTTTGCTGTATTCAGTATTCTCAATTGGTTTTATAATGTTCTATACCTAACTGACTGGACAACTAATTTGAAGTTAAAGAGATATACCATGGTACATATTACTACTATCCCAGTATCCTGCTGTGAAATCCTGTACCAATTTCACTGCATTGTCTCAATTGGCTTTGTTCTGTTTTGTCCTGTTGCATTTTTACTACTTTCAAAAAAAAAAAAAAAATGATTCCTTATAGTGGAACAGTCACTAGGGGATAATTTACTTCTAACCTTAAATTTTAAATGCATGTTTTTCTTATTAGACCATGATACAATAATAGCACTGAATTTCTACAGAAATACTGAATTTGGCTTTTTATTTTTAACTTATAGAAAGTTTGAAAATTTCTACATAGGCTGGGGATGTAAGTATAGTGTACACAATTACTCACCTCCAGTCCCACCACCAGTTTATCAAGAATACTCCAGTGGACCAGAAATTACAGAAATGGATGACCCTAGTGTGGAAGAGGAGCAGGCTTTTAGAGCTGCACAGGAAGCAACTGAACTTGCAGCTCAGGACAGTGAATCTGAGGAAGATGAAGATGATGATAACTAAGAATAAAACTGTCTGCTCTCATATGCTGTGGCACTAACATACAAAGCCCGTATGTGAGACTAATTTTATATTGAACCAGGATTACACTGTGTAATTCCTTAAAAATATCAAATCTGACATTTCATATGCAATTATGTGTTTAAAGAATGATAACTCAATAGACCATATGTTCTGATAGCCATGGCTAATGGAAAACATGTTTGTGTATGTTTCAAAAATGTATCATTTAATTTTCCTTATCACAAACACTGAAAGTTGTAACTCGTAAAACTCCATGAAAATGTTTATACTTTGGAAGTGTCAAGGAGTATAGAGTAAAACCCTGCTCATCAGTGAACTAGAATGTCTGCTTTTATCTTTTGTGAGACCTGACCAACTACGAGACGGAGACTAAATCTCTGTGACTGGTGGTGGTTGAGGCTGATACTGTGTGCAAATACCGTGGGTGTGTATTTATTCTCCTTCTGAGGGTAGTGTTCCTAATTCCACGATTTAGTCAAAGGCTAGAACACTCATTTAACCCTGCTACTTTTCACTTCTTTAACCAGGCTTCCTGTCACCCTATAGAAAATTATTTGAATTGATTGGGAGTAAGGGATGATTTGCAGATAAAAAGATGAGATTTCCAGACACTTCAGACATATTCTCCACTATTGCTTTTCATTCAATAAAAAAAGTATTTTTCAGTTTAAACATACTAGAGAATGAATATACAGTAGGCACTGCTCCTGAAATCACAGCTTTTACTGACGAGGGAGTATAGAAAGGCAGATAATTAGAATAGACTGCCATTTAGCAAGCAGTATGATGCAAGTCTTGAAGTCTTGAAGATTAGTGCTTCCTAGTCTGCAATAAAGGGTAACTTTTGAAAAAGAATTGTAAGCCAATGCTGTTATTTTTGTAAAATTAAAAAGTTTACAGCAAATTTCAATTTCTGTACTTACCATAAATTGGAAGCCTACAGATTCCTGGTCTACATTTAAACACTACGTCAAGTCCTCAGATGGTGACTTAGCCCAGACTTGAGTAGAGCAAGAAGCATTTCTGAGTCACATGTGGACTGCTGCAGGGGATGCTATTGGCAGTAAAAGCTACATGCATTTTGTCAAGACTTCAGGCTGAGGTAACTTCAAGTGACGGGAAAGTGACGTGGGAAAGAGGAAGTGAAAAGTGAGATGTATTATGTACTCGTTCCAGCTCCCCACACTGAATGTAATTGTTATGTACTGCAAACATGTATCAATAAAAATAAAAATTTAACACAAAGGAGTGGTAAGAGATAACACTGGAGAGGTAAGCACAGCCCAGACTATGTAAGAAAGCTGAATCAGATTCTTGAGCAATAAAAAAGAGGATTAACCTAACCTAGAAAGCTGACAAACACCACTATGTTTTAGAATATTTAGGCTTCAGTGTGGAAGACAAATGATAGAGAATACAGGTTTAAGACAGAGAGACTAGTTAGGTTATCACATTACCTAGGTACGAGAACATGGGGGCATGGAAAAGAATAACAGCATGGAGATATAAAGTAAAAAATATTACTTCTGCATAGACTATCCAGGAAGGTCATTTCCAGAATTCTCTACCAGGCAAGACTATTTCATTTTTGGTGGGCAAATTTCAGTCTTTTTTGGAGTACCTAAAATTCACAAATCTTTATTCAATCATGTTCATGTTCACTGTATAGTAGCAACTTGGTTTTGCTTTTATTTATTTTTGGTTTTTTAAAATTCAGTTCCTTCCTATCCTTATTTTCTCCGAGCACCATTGTCTAGTTAGTGTCATGTGAATCATGCCTCCCTGGAGTTTGAATTTTGAGCAGAGAAAATCTACTATGGCAGCTGATAAGACTGTTCTAGTTATACATTATATCATATCCTAGCCTGCTACTAAATTGGCTCCAGACCAACTTTTTTTACCCGTAGATCCTGTGATCTTCTGAAAAACTTTATTTTCTTCTGCCCATATTTGTCAGACTAGGAATTCATGCTTGCAATGATACAAGTTATATTCCACACGAATCTGGGAGTTTCTTTCCTTCAGAAAACACATTAAACACAGACTCTAAAATTTATGGCTGAGGATTTGGCTCAGAGGTAGAGCTCTTGCCTTACATGCACAAAACCCTGGGTTCAAGCCCTAGCACCACAAAAATAAAACAAAAAACAATTATAATAGAAACAAAAAATAAAATTTACATGTATAATCAGTATAAATATTTAGCAAAAGCAAATCTTTAAAGAATTATGCCTGTTACATATTAAGGCCATTTCTACATAGTGAGAAGGGAATTCCTCTTATTCTCTAAGAGAAGACAGCTAAATAATATAGTGTTAAGAGCTTGGAAATGAAACAGCCTGAGTTCACCCCCAAACCATGATCATTTTCTTGGACAAATTACTACTAATTTGTCAAAGCTCCAGCTCTTTCAAGGGACTAATTATAATACTTGCTGTAAAAGAAGAATTTAAAGATTAATTAATATATGTAAAATACTAAGTACCTAAAACAAGTCAGGACCCAATGTATGTCAATTCATATATACAATACAAAATTGGTGTCTGAAACATGGATAAGAAAAAAATCTTCAGTGCAAGCAAGATATTTTATTGAAACAATCAGTAGATAATAAAGCACTAAAGGAATAATTTAATGTAGGCAAGCAAGTTGAGCACTCAAGAGAATTCACAGATTCTTAAGTTGTATTAAAAAGTTCAACGGCCCAGGTTTTGGAAAATAAAGTACAATGCTATAATCACCAAAAAGTTTAATTCTTCAAGGAATCTTCTCCGCTGTAAAGACTTGAGAAGCTTGTCTCCTGGCCTTGAAAAAGAATTTTAAACACTATTAATTGCAAGTTATAAATTAACTAATTATACTATTAATTATCATTTTGATATAAAATATGGTTTTTTTTCAAAATGGAAATTCCTAAAGGAAAATTAAAATACCAAACTTTTAAATTTAGGAATAAACATTTTTTAAAGCTAAGGCACAGAGACATTAAATTTCAAAGAGAATACATTTTCAAATAAAAGAAAATGTCATTGTTTTTAAAATGAGTCAAAAGGAAAAATGATGGCTTACAAAATTATATACAGAGAGACAGGGTTAGAGGGAAAAAACCAGAGAAGAGACCTGGAGAGTTACTGCTTTGAGGACAGAGCTTTTAAGAAAAACAACTCTTTCTATACACTTTAAAAATTTCGCCTCAAAACATAATTCAATATTTGTGCTACTTTCACAATCTGAGTTACAAATTAAAGCGTATTTATCCAAGCTAAATTAGACAGATTAGATTAAGTTACATTCAGAGTACAAAGATGACACACAGAAAGCTAAGAATATAGTGTAGTAAATTAATCATTGTGTAAAAACCAGCTGAGAAAAATGACTGTTGCATAGATCTGTGTTTGCATAAATTCCTTCATCTAGACAAGTATTCCTAACATCTAGAAGAGGTTCTGGGATTAATAGCTACTAAAATATACATTTATGGCGAATGTCTTACAATAAGACAACTGTAAAACTAATTAATTTTTTTGGTAGCCATTCTCTGAATTACATGATTATTAAAATACCAGAACTAGTCCTAAGTCCAAATGTGAAAAAAATACATGAAATGCAGTTATACATATCTGTGTTTCGTTATATCGTAAAACATCAAATTTGTTCTGAAATCCTACAATTAAAAATTTTATCATTATCACTTAGAAGGAAAGATATAGTACTTTAAAAGTAAGCTATAAAAACAAACATGAAATAAAAGTAAAATCATTTTGTCCTCTTTAAAGCTTTACATTTCCATCTGATCATCTGTAGATCAATCAGTACAGTTAGGTCTTTTCTTACCATACGTATTTCATTATTTATCATTCACCTAATAGTAAAAAAAGGTTAAATAATATAAAACATTTTCATGAAGCACAGTGAAGCAAATGAAAGCCATTTAGGCATTATTTTAAATGTAACGATGCCCATTCCAGAAATTCAGTGTTATAAAAATAAATGTATTTTTCAACTTAATGAAATAGAATAAGGTATTAGGCTATACAAAGGGGCAACAGACATTTTAAGTAAAAATTTTAAACGTTAGCTTGAAAAAAACAACAAAAGCAAAAAAGCTTAGGTTGGTATAACAGTACATGCCTATGATTTCAGCACTCAGGAGGTGGAGGCACAAGAGTTGCAAATTTGAGGCAAGGAGAGCAAGGTCAAGACCAGCCTGGACTACAAAGTGAGACCCTGTCTCAAAAAGCAAAACAAACAAAAAAATTTAAAGTTTTTAAGTTTCACCCATCACATCTTCACATTATACTTACCACTTTCTCTTCTGGCGAAAGAGTACCCTCTATTGCCACTATCTGGTATTGTTTATGTTTTAAATTTCCTGCAAATTTCCGAAGTTGCTTGAGACTACTGGCTTCGAAGTCTTGTTTTAATAGTTTTTGCATTTCTCGAGAAGGACATCCAGGGTCAAATATTAATAAACATAATGTTCTGTTTTTTCTCTCTTCAATTCCAACAATTGTTCGACTATGACCTATCAAAATACGAAATAAAAAGCTATCTGTAAACCCTTACACAGATACTAGTAACACCACATATACACACACATACATATATATTCTTGTTCTCTGTATGTATATATTTAAAACATAAATATTGGTAGCCTTTGACATTTATGTACATGAGATATCTTCTTTTTTTTTTTTTTTTTTTTTGTCTTTTTCATTTTTATCGGTACCGGGGATCGAACTCACGACCGCCTGCTAGCAAGGCAGGTGCTTATGCTGCTGAGCTAAATCCCCAGCCCCGAGATCTCTTCTAAAACATTAGTAATTAGTTTTACTTCCTGCTCTTCATTTTACTTTGATTATTAAAGTCATTATCAAAAAAAATCTGCTTCTACTCTACCACATATTTTATTTTTATGACTTTCTTGATGTCTTTTCCTTCTCTAGTCTCTTATTCAAATTATCTCATCTGGAAGTACTTGAAATTTATCTATCCTACAATAAAAACAATGATGGATTAGAAAGATCAACAGACATTAAAATTACATACCCCAGAAAATCAATGTGGAGGATTTAATCTCTGGCTTATATTCCTGAACAATTACTCTCTTTATTCTTGTCAATGCAAATCACCCACTCAACAAAATTTATCATGTATCTATAAGCCAGCATGGTTCCAGCAATAAGGTATATGGTAGAAAACAAACAGATCAATATGCCTGCTTTCATGGAGCTTATATTCAAAGAGGAGTAGACACTCCACCAACAGGGTAAGTGAAGGAAATGCCTGCCAGTGGTGGGGTGTGGGGCTAATGATAAGAACTTTTAAATAAAATGAGTTAGGGGAAGGCTTAAAGTGACATCTGGATAGAGTCATGAAGAAGGCAATGGATGAACAATGAAACAACAGTGAACCAGACAAAGAAAATAGCATGTGCACAAGACCCCAAAGATGCCATGAATACTATCCAATACTATCCTTCATTATCCAGGAAGGTAGGTTAATGTCACAATACTCCCTTCATCCCTATCGAATCCCTATCAGAGTCTTAAGCTTTTACCTAGGAGTTATACTAACCTTGATGCTGGAGATAGATAGGAGGTTTGGACGTGCATAGCACCTTTGCATTCCCTCCCTGCTCTGAGGAATAATAGTTCAATATCCATTCAAATAAGCGAGGGTGTGTACCCGAGGGACCAGTTGCCTTGTGAAAATCAATAATACGGCACCTATAAAAAGTGGCAAAATGAATTAGGGTATATTTTCAAAATTTTTTATTGATACAACTTATCAAATACAATAGAATTGTAATTTAGAACTAAATTTGGTTTTATCATGGCTGATTAGAGGCAGTGGCATGTATGGGAAACATAAGATGTGCCGGGAAATACAGATAGAATGAAGGCAATCAAAACCTTCACCAGTATGGTGGTAGGTAGAAAGGGAAGCTGGGGCATCTTCTGATCTTGGCACTGCTTATACCCAGGGCTGACAAACATGCACTCTTGGGAAAGGACCTAATGCCCCAAAGAAGGAGCTGAGTATTCCAATATCCAATGCCATCCATCATGGTTCCATTCACACTAGGAGAGGCAGAGGCAAGCCACTCAACTCACTAAGCAGGGCACTAAAGAAAGTAAAGGCCAGATACTCATTCAGGGACTCAGGACTGGCAGGTTCTTGGTAACGTAAACAACAAATGCATGGTCCTGATAAGGAACCTGGAACATAACCCTGAGAGCCTTAGCTAAGTGAGTTGCATGGGTAGGCACTGGCTGTAATGAGTGAGATCCAGGGAGTACTTGAGCACTGCCCCACCCTTGCCCTAAACACCAGCAAGGTCAAGATGAGTGGCTGTGGGATACTCTGCCCACCCACCCCTCGGTGCCCACATGGGAATCCTGTCACCCAACGTAGAAGCCATGAGCAGCACGCCCTAGGCACTATTGAGCTCAAGGGGTGGACAGGGAACCTTTGAAGTGTGGTCAGCAGATTTGGTGCAGGTGTAGAACTGGAGAACAGCATGGCCAGAGGGAGGGGGTAGCGTGGCTCCCCAGCCCTACACCAGAATAGTACAGAAAGAGGATATACAAGCAGCTGCAGGGATAACTGGACAGAAGCAGTAAGAAATCAAGAAGGCCTCAGAAATCAGCAGAAGACTGGGTGTTTAGCCAGCCACACTGCACTCTCCCTAACTCAAGCACCTGAAGGTGCTAGATCACAACAGAGGCAAAAACCTCCAGTGAGGGCCAGGGATTTAGCTCAGCGGCATAAGTGCCTGTTTGGCAAGTGCGTAGTTGTGAGTTAAATCCTCAGTACCAAAACAAAACAAAACAAAACAAAAAAATCCTCCAGTGAGTCATGCCCATGGGAGCATAACTCAAACCAAGCAAAGCATGGCCGACAGAGGTGAAGACACAGGTCCAGTGGTTGTCTAGACACCCTGTAAGTCAAAGCTTTTCAATCTGTGAGCACCCTGGCTGAACTCTGAGCACTGTATAAAGAGGACTGACAGTCCCTTTTGTTTTTGCAGGTGTGTGATGATTTTTTATTCTTTATTTCTTTTTCTCCTTTCATCTGGTACATGTGGAAGGTATCTGTATATATAAAATGGAGAATAAGAATGAATTGGTACTTTAGAAAAAGAATTTATGTTATGTACATGTGTAAGTGCCCCATCATGGATGTAATCATTATATACTACAGGCATGTACTGATAAAAATAAAAATTAAGCCCTACAGAAAGATGGCAGATAGACAACAGCTGGCTACAGAGGCTCCCTGAGATAGTTAACTTAAAATTCAACATAAAACTGTGTGGGGAGCCCCAAACAGAGGGAGATGAATTCTCTCATCCAAAGAAGAAACTAAGATGAGAAGAACCAATCAAACACACAGTCCCGGTGCTCTTATTGGAACAGCTAAAGATTCAGTGCTCCCGCCACAGTGGGTGACTTGTCAAGTCGTCCGAAGTCCTGCCGCTTCGACTCACTAGAGGTGCAGTCACATTGAGGTCAGGGGCCAGCCAGCCAGACAGCTGAGATGGCAGGGAGCCTGCATTGACCTGAGGTGAGTGATGGGAGTGGAGCCATTCCACAGAAAGGGAGGCTCCAGGGACGACAATCTGGGACCGGGCAGGACTGACAAGTACAAGGGGCAGCAGTGACTTCAGTCAGTTGTTCCCTTCCCGAATGGGATTGGTGGAGTGAGCTAGGCCTGGGTCATGAGACCTGGCTGAGACCCAATAGATTATCTGAAATCAATTCCCAACAGAGTGGTGCACACTAAGGCAGTGAAACCTCAGAAGTTTGACAGACCTGGAGGGGAAGCGGTGCACAGTAACACAGCTCAGGCCTCAGCAGCTTGACTGATTGGAAGGGAGGGGCCAGCATACACTGCTCCTGTCTGCAACTCACTAGCACAACGCAGTGGGAAGGGTCACCTAGCCAGCGTGCTACAGAATAATTGTAACCAACAAAGAAAGAAACTGGGGTCTTTTGGAAGAAACAAAAAAGATGGGAAGAGGAAGCAACAAGAAAAGTCCCCAGGTCTCAACACTGAGAACATTGACCCAGAACAGGTAAATACAAAGGAGAATGAGGACAGCAAACATGCAATATCAGACACGGCACCGGTGGAAATAAAGAGATATCTTCGGGCCCTCATAGATGAGTTCAAAAGGGAAATATTTAGCCAAGTAAAGCAAGATATAAGAAGATTAATAAAAGAGCTGCTAAGAACCCCTCAAGTGGACACAGACGGAAGAAGGGGGGAACTCAAAACAAAGGAGAGAACCATTTGATGAAGAATATAAAAAAAATATGGAATACATGAAGCACATTCAAAGAGATTACCAGGAAATTAAAAACTATGGAAAGATGGCAAATCTGCTTGAAAGAAACTAAGGATAGATTATCCAAAGTGGAGGACAGTTTTGCAGTGTGAGATTATGAAAGGAAAAACTTTTTAAAAATAACAAGGGAACAAGCAGTAACAATACAAAGGCTAGAAGACAACAAGAGGATCTACAACTTGAGAATAAAGAATATGAATGAAGAAGCAGTGCTAAAAACAAAGGAACTGCAAAGGCTATTCACAGAAATAATTAAGGAAAACTTCCCAAACATAGGAAAAGGAAATGATATTCTGATGTATGAGGCATACACAACTCCAGCCACCTACAACCAAAACAGAGCCACACTCAGGCATATAATAATCAAGATCCCAGAAATTCAATAAGAACAGAATATTAAAAGCTGTTAGAGACAAGAACAGATAACCTATGAAGAAGGGCTCATCAGAATCATGGCAGACTTCTCAACACAAACCATCAAGTAAAGAAGAGCCTGGAGCGAAATATTCCAAGCCCTGAAAGAAAATAACCGCCAACCCAGATTGATATACCCTGCTAAACTGTCTCTAGTAATGAATGGAGAAACAAGATACTTCCAAGACAAAGAGGAACTTGGGAAATTCGCAGCCACCAACCCAACTCTACAGAGAATACTGTAAGGCATCCTAGAGAGAGAAAAGTACTAGGATTCCAAGAACAGTAGCAGAGAAGCCTCAATGAATGGAGCAGAAAACAGAATGCAGATAAGCAGACAACTAATGGCAAAAGAAGACCATAACAGAAATGAGGCAGAGAAGGTTGGCTATAATCTCTAATATAGATGGCTTTGACACATTAAGTTAAAAAAAAAAAGGAGAGACTTTCGGGAGAACATGGCAGATAGATAACAGCAGCTATGGAGGCTCTCTGAGATAGCCACCTTAGAATCCAGGAATGGTGTGGTGAGGAGTCCTAAGCAAGGGGAGACATACCGTGCCAACCCAGGAACGAACTATGTTGAGAGAAACCAACTAGACATGAATTCCCAGTGCTATAACCGGAACAGATAAAATCTCAGCACTGAAGCTGGAACCCGTGATTTGAACTTCCTGCCGCCACCATTGCGTCTGAATCAGCAGGGACAGAGACGTGAAACATCTGAGAGCGAGAATTGGCAAACAGAGTTCAGAGCAGGACAGGCGGGGAGCCATGCATTGATCTGTGTTGAGTGAGAAGAACGGTGACCCTTCCATAGACTAGGAAGGTCCAACAGAGGACATTCTGGGACAGGACAGACTACCCAGAAGAGGACTCTGCAATGACTTTAGTCACATATTCCCCTCCCAAGTGGGACTAGTGGGGAGTGCTTGGCCTGGGCCATGCTGCTTGCCTGGGAAGCTCAAGGTCATGAGTTTGATCCCCCATACCAAAAAAAGAAAACAACAACAACAAATAGAGTTAAATCATGAGGTTAGGCAGGTCTAAGGTGGGGAAAACATGAGAACTCACAAGGTGGGCATGAGGTGGGACAGAACTATAGTCAACCAATATGATTAATTGCTCAGGTTAAATCGGGGACAAATGGGGAAGGAGTCATGTAGCAAGTGGGCATGCATACAGAGCAGTGATTCTTCCTAAAGGGGTTTGGACAGTGATTCCGGGCTTCCTTAGAGAGATAAAGAACTGCTTAGAATATCAATCCTTGTGACTCGTGTATTTGCTTTATCTTTTGTCTTGCTTCTTGACCCACAGCGGGAAGCATCTATCTCCCCCACAGTTTGCAAAGCATCTAGTCTTCTGCACTGGCTCCTTCAAGAACCTAGCCCTGTCTGACTGATAATATGTCTATCTAACTCAATGACCAGTAACAGTATCACCTATTTAGATCTTTGATTTTATTTTGGTTACCACTGCCTGGGCATCCTGGGTCAATTAAGGCTGGTTTTAGCTTCATTCTTTTCTATTGGTTGGTGTGGTCTCTGAGGCATCACTGTCATAGGATTGAGCACTTGCTTCTCAAGAGGTGGAACCAACTCTTTCTCTGGGTTTGGGTCCATGATACTACAGACAACATGCTCTGGCACCCAGAGAGGCCATTCAGCATTTCCTGGAAAAACATAAGCATACCCTCAACCCCAAATTAGCACTGCATTGGGTGCTTTTATTATTCAGTATGAAGACCTCCCCAGTAGACTCTTTTTAGCCTTTATTTGATTGCATTGTCTTTCTGTCATGATAGTTCCAACTTTATTAGAATTTAAAAGGGTAATATAGGGGCTGGGGATTTAGCTCAGTGGCATAAGCACCTGCCTTGCAAGCAGGTAGTCGTGAGTTCCATCCCTGGTACCGAAAAAGACAAAAAAAAAAAAAAAAGGCTAATATAATAGTATATACTAT